TTTTTTAATGATGAAAATGTCTTGAAATATTCACAGCTTAAATATTAAACAAAGCTGAAGCGCATAAAAATGCAAGCCCTAAAAATACTAAAAAAATAAATAAATAAAAAAAATAATCATAAATAAATAAATAAATAAATGTGCTGCTGTCAGTCGCCGCGCCGGTGTGGATATTTTCATTCAGAATCACAGATTCAAAGATATTTCTCTGGAAACAAGTCTTATCATAAAGGAGTTATTCACTTTTGAAAAAACTTTTGCTGAAAATTTACTCACCCCATGTCATCCGAGATGTGCATGTCTTTCTGTCTTCAGTCGAAAAGAAACTAAGATTTTGATGAAAACATTCCAGTATTTTTCTCCATATAATTTCTCCATACAATTGGTTCAAATGACTCGGGGAAAAAGATTTGTTCATTTTGATGAACGAGTTCAAACAGGAGAGTCACGAACGTGCATCACAGGTGACCCTTTGAGCTTATAAAACTTAAACTTTGTTATTTTTTTTTTTTTTAAATGAGCGATCGTTTCGCTTGATAAGAATCATACGTCTGGAATCGTAGCTTATACTAGCCAAGACTCGTCCTTTATGTGTACTGTACAGATATATGTGTACAGATGTGATGTAATGATGCAAAGACATGTTCGAATCTCCCACGGAAATCCACCAGTATCGCTGGAATTAAAAACTTTATTACAAGCTTATCGCTTTGAATCGAGATAGTAGCAGATTCAAGCAGATAGTTTTGAACAAAGGCTGGTTATTTATTTTGTCAAATATGTATTTTGGATAAATTTTAACCCAAAAAAAGCTGCGGACTGCAGCTTTAAAGCTTAATAAGGGGCACTTTAAGCATTTACAATGAGTCACTAAGGAGGCAAGATGAGATGCTCCAGATAAAGAGAAGAATCGCATGTTAGTAGAATAAGTAGGGAGGAGAATGAATGTCCACTGCGGGCTGCCGCATGTGAACTGCTCTGACATTAGCGTGTGTGTGTGTGTGTGTGTGTGTGTGGTTTGAAATGGATCCTCCTTAATGGCTTAATGCATGCAATATAAAACTATTGTTGATTGTAGATGTAGATGCTGAGACCACTGATTTTCCCATCACTTCTCTTCATTTTCTTGTCAGTTTTTAAAAACTGACCTTTGAAACATAAATTGTTTTTTACAATGGCTGTAACAAGCAATTTGACAACATCTTAAAAATGTGGTGTAGTTGAGATGAGACACAACACAAAAGTATAGTGAAGCAGTCTACTTGCAAATAGCATGTGTGATTATCTATGAAAAATGTCTATGCAATGTGACATTTTCTTCATCACCAAATCCATCAAATGATAGAAAAAGATTCTCATTTCCCGCAATAATAGAACATAAAATTAATGATCAAATAAGGCTGACGATTTGACTACTGCCACAGTATAATCTATTCATTGCTGTCATCTGCCACAGTGATGTCTTTAAAATGATCCTTCTTTGTGGCATTTTCTCAGAAAATATGAATAGGCCTATATGTGGTTACAGTTATTGTGATCAATATCATGTAAATCGTTTGAGGAACAATTTTAAATTATTTACAGCCTTTGTTTTTCCTATTCCCCTGTCGCACTGTTTTTCCGCCCTTTTGTCATCAACTTACTGTTGTCACTCCATCCTCTATCCTCTCTATCCTCACATCGTGTCCGTTCTTAGTGTGGGATTAATAGTGATTAATGAATCAGTCTGATCACACCACATCAGCAGTGAGGATTAGTCTCTGCTGTCCATTACTGTATGAATGAAGCTTTCCCTAATTCACTGTACTGGCTCGATATGTAGATCAAGTGTCCACCATTATACGAATTAACCAGATTATAGTGTTACATACATTAAACACGTTCCCTCATAATGAATGATTAACATGCTACATGTCCTTTAAAATCATGGTATTCTTTTTTTACATTATGCATGTGCAGTGAAAAAAGATGCTTGAGTTTAACAGTTGGCTGTGCAAACTATACATGCGCAATGGATACACACACATCCAATGCAAGTTAAAGCTGTTACAGTATGTCTGGCCATAACAAGCAGCAATGCTGTCTGTAGGTCAGAGCACATGCCCAGGGGCTTCAGACATTAAAGCTGTTAGCTGGATGTGTGATACTGTGAACTTCACTATCTTGTATAATTCTTAAGAAAATTCATGCTCAGTTTTAATGGTGTTGCTATTTTACAGGTAGAAACAGCCACACCAACCCGATCTCACGGGAATTCGTACGAATTTTACGAGGTGGCTAATTCGTAACAATTCGTATGACCTCACTCGTACGATTTTTGCTAAATCGTACATATTTTCCGAATTGGCCAATTCGAAAGAATTCGTACGAATGACCTACCCCTGACCCACCCCTAAACCTACCCATCACGTGGGTTTGGACAAATCGTATGAATTCGTACGAGTGAGGTCTTATGAATTAGTACGAATTAGCCACTTTTTAATCACTCGTACGAATTGGTCGTGAGATAGCGTAGGCCACAGACAAGATTTTCTTATGCAGCCATTAGTGCTTTTAAGTATTTTATTTATCATTGTGTTTATTATTTAGCCATAATTGTATTAATTCGTGAGGAATTAACTATAAAAAGGTTGTCAATTCAGATCTACAGCACTGTTCAAAAATTTGGGGTCAGCAGGGTATTTTTTCATAGAAATTCTTACGTTTATTCAGGAATGTATTAAAATAATCAAACGGGACAGGACAATTATAATGTTACAAAATATTTTAAATAAATTGTTCTTTTGAGCTTTCTATCCATTAAAGAATCCTGATGGGGGAAAAATCCACGCAAATGTTAAGCAGCTGTTTTTAACAATGATAATATGAAATGTTTCTTGAGCAGTGAATATTATAATGATTTCTGAAGGATCATGTGACAACAAAAAGTGGAGTAATGACTCGCTGTAATGATCACAGGAAAAAAATACATTTGAAATGATATTTTAATAGAAAACAGTTCTTTATGGTTCCCAATATTATTTTTTTCACTGTATTTTTGATCAAATAAATGCAGCATTTATCTTTTTACTCACTTTTTAATGCCCAGAAGGGGTATAAATGTACAGTACTTGCCCTGTATAACAATCAAAGAAATGATATATTGTTGACAAAATCATTAATTTAATTTGTTCTAACAATAATTAAACAATTTAATCTTTGAACTTTTGTACAAAATATCTCTTCATGTAGGTTGATGATATGAGCATGTCAGACTGTGTAAGCTATAAAGGGTATTGTTGTCACTTCTAAGTGCCCACTAAATTCACATTTCATGTTACATGGGGCCCTTTAAGTAAATGGATACCAGTGAAGCCCTGGACCATTTGCTGAGGGGGACCCTGCAGTCTTCATGCACAGTAATGTGTTTAAATTAATGTCTGGTTTGAGACCATCTCTAAGCTGTTGCCTTTGTTGAATACCTGCCTGAAATTCAATAGGCCATCTCTCTTTTTCGTCCTCTCTCTGTTGTATAGCTGATGGTTCAATTCTTTCTTTCATCACTGCAGAGCGTACAATTGAAGTTTCTCTCCGAGAATAGGCATCATTTGTCCGTTCACCCTCTCACGCTGGCATTCTCTGACAGCCTCCTCTGAAATCCCCATCCCACTTATGTCGGCTGGCTGCTCTGTTTTGTTCTCGTGTTGACTTGAATGGGTTTTAATGGTGCTGCTTCATGTTTGAAATTAAGACTCGTGGCTTAAGACAGCAAACCAGACTCAAGAGCCCTGTGACAATCGCTATATCCAACATTTGCTGTGAAATCCAGGCCTAGCCAACATAAATCTGAGCTCTCTGCAGTCAACAGACCCAAACATCTTTTCTGGAAGAGGCAGACAAGTAGTTTTGTCTGGTTCTTTTGCATGTGGAGTGCTTGACCTTTTTTGTGGTCTTTTTGTCCACATCATACTTTTGAGAAGATGGCAGTCTGGATTCCTACTGGAAAAGAGGGCTGTAATTCTTCTTTTACTGAGTGAAGGCACTTGACTGTTGCTCACCTCTGTTTACTAAGTTTAGAAATTCTCCGTTAACCATCTGTCTCGAGTTCCGCATGTAATAATTGTTATTAGGAAAACTTAGATAGAATGAGCATTGCCATACAGTGGACTAAAGTGATGGCCGGAGGGGATATTTAAAAATTAAGAATACACTAAACATGGTTACAGTATTAAAATGATACAATTATTTGACAAGAACAGCTTTTATTTTAAATAGATTTTTTTGTAACATTGAGATGTTTACTGACAATTTTGATTAATTTAATGCTTCAAGAAAAGAAAAATCTTGTTGACCCCAAATTTTTTAACAGTTGTATAGCACAGTGCTGTTTTTTTTTTTTTTTTTTTTTTTTTTTTTTACCTCAGTAAAATTAAGTTATTGCTATACTTGGGCTTATTATACAGCGCTAAACACACTAACAATGCCAAACGGAAACTGAGAATAATGGCTTCAAAGTTTCTGTTTTTTTTGTTTGTTTGTTTTTTTTTTTTTATTAAAATTGATTTTAGCAGTTTTCACACAATGCTTTCCCTGAACATAGATGAGTAAAACCTGTCTTCTGTCAAGAAAGATCATAATCTAAGAGTCCTATTCACAAAACTCGATTGCTATTTACCAAGTGTTATTAATGTAGCAAAAGAAGGTAAAATATTTTTTACCCAGTTATAATTCATTTCCCATACAGATTACAAATATTAATACAAATATATAATATGTAACATATATATATATAATACAAATATTCTAACATGTAACATTTGGATGATACTTTTATACTTATATCTTCCCAGCTGTGATAACATCTATGCACTTTGAGGAGGAAGTAAAGCTCATGTTTCAGGATGGGTACACAATATTTATTTATTTTTAATAACGGGTTTTCAAGCACATACTGTCATCCTTGTGTTGACATAAACTCATACTTGGTTAAGAGGTTTTTTTTTTTTTTTTTCCACTCACAGGTTGCTTTATGCTGTAGGGAGACTGGTGGAAGAAACTTTGAATGCTGCAATACTAAGGTGAGTCCTACTTCATCTACTGGATAAGATTCACTTTATTATCACTGCCTTAGTTTTACAATTATTTTTGACAGGTCCTTTTATATCATCACACTTTACACCTGATTACACCAAGTTGTTTGTGTATTGGTCTAAAGGGGCAACTTCTACTTCTATTAAACGTCTATTAAACACTCACACTGTAATCTGTCTAGCTGTTCATTCGTGTGACTGAAATCCCACTTCGTATTCATCTGCATGTACATTGGCCGTGTCCTCAATCACTGTACGCTCCAGCAGTTTAAAGCCTGTCAATATTCATCTCATCAGTGCTCCCACTCTCCCTAAGCGCTTACCAGCCTCTTAAAGGGAAAGTAATAGCTGTTTATGAACTCTTCCGATGGTAAAACTGTACTCTAGTGCTTCATGTTTTGTAGCAATATTTTTCTATTCTTTTGGATGTACAGTAGCTAGAAACAGATTCAGATTTTTTTCAGTAGACAAATCCCACTATCGTGATTTAGAAAATTTGATGTTAAGAAAAACCTCACAGTTATGTTTTCTCCTAGATTAAACCATGACTACTCTTTGCTGTCTGTAAGATAAGTGTTGATTTAGGCTTTTATACTGGTTTCACTACATCTAGTTAATTGACAATTTTGTAAATGTATAAACAAAAGCAAAAGTGTGATTTACAGCTTTTGTATGATTTTAATGTTTTTTGTTCCATTCTCTTAGCAGCTAATACTTCAATACACACAAAACATTTTTGGCAGCTCAATCTATATGTTATGTAATTTATCAATAATAATTATTATAGATAATTATAATACAATCACCTAAAGGATTATTAGTAACACCATACTGATACTGTGTTTGATACACCATACTAATACTTTCACCTTAATTCTACATGGCATTGATTCAACAAGGTGTTGAAAGCATTCTTTAGAAATGTTGGCCCATATTGATAGGATCGCATCTTGCAGTTGATTGAGATTTGTGGGATGCACATCCAGGGCATGAAGCTCCCGTTCCACCACATCCCAAAGATGCCCTATTGGGTTGAGATCTGGTGATTTTGGGGGCCATTTTAGTGCAGTCAACTCATCGTCATGTTCAAGAAACCAATTTGAAATGATTCAAGCTTTGTGACATGGTGCGTTATCCTGCTGGAAGTAGCCATCAGAGGATGGGTACATGGTGGCCATAAAGGGATGGACATGGTCAGAAACAATGCTCAGGGAGGCCGTGGCATTTAAACGATGTCCAGTTGGCACTAAGGGGCCTAAAGTGTGTCAAAAAAACATCCCCCACACCATTACACCACCACCAGCCTGCACAGGGGTAACAAGGCATGATGGATCCATGTTCTCATTCTGTTCACGCCAAATTCGGACTCTACCATCTGAATGTCTCAACAGAAATCGAGACTCGTCAGACCAGGCAACATTTTTTCAGTCTTCAACGGTCCGATTTTGGTGAGATCTTGCAAATTGTAGCCTCTTTTTCCTATTTGTAATGGAGATGAGTGGTACCCGGTGGGGTCTTCTGCAGTTGTAGCCCATCCTCAGGTTGTGCGTGTTGTGGCTTCACGAATGCTTTGCGGCATACCTCAGTTGTAACCAGTGGTTATTTCAGTCAAAGTTGCTCTTCTATCAGTTTGAATCATTCGGTCCATTCTCCTCTGACCTCTAGCAATCCCGGAAATCTCGGTAACTGAGCAGATTGTAAAAATACTCAGACCGGCCTGTCTGGCACCAACAAACATGCCACGCTCAAAATTGCTTAAATCTCTTTCTTTCCCATTCTGACATTCAGTTTGGAGTTCAGGAAATTGTCTTGACCAGGACCACACCCATATATGCATTGAAACAACTGTCATGTGATTGATAATTGCATTAATGAGAAATTGAACAGGTCTTCCTAATAATCCTTTAGGTGAGTGTATAATTATTAATAGGCAAATATAATTCACAGTAATTTATCAGAAAACAAGACTTAATATCTTTGACATTGTGTTGCTCTAGTTGAATTTATTTTTGTATCATATTTTTTGTATTCTTAAATTTTTTTTTCCTTGGAAAACAAGATTTTTTGGAGTGTAGTTTTGTTCATGGTTTATGAGCACAAGGGTGTGTTGTGCAACCTGTCCATGTTGGCATCTGCGTGACTTTTACCAAGTGACATATGGATGTGACAGGATTTTTCCCGCTTTTAAAAATTAATCATGTATTGTGTTGTCCTTATAATGGATGATCATATAGTTGAATTTTCAATAATTACTTTAGCATTTTTTATATGACTCAATAAGAGCACTCACTAGTTGAGAACCACTGTTGTAGACTGCAGAAAGATTTTAAAGTTTATGGTGACACACCATTTATTATGTTCTATTTCAAAGCACATCTTTCTCCCTGTGTTTAGTCAAGCGATAGTTTGCTGTTTATCTTGTCTAATAGCACATGGTTCCCGCTCTAGATCACCACCCACTGACTGATACAGCGCTAGAACCGTTTGGGCGCTGTTCCCTCACAGTTTGCATCAAAGCTTTGGTGTTGAATTGAAGTGAGAGGAGGCAGAACGTGGGCATGTAGCGTTGCAGCCGTTCACCTCTCCTCCTCCTGTTTTCCCTCTTCACATATCCTTCACTCTGCTCTATGAATTCCTCCTCATCCAGAGGGACTCTCTTTAACAGCCGCATAAATGCACTTTGCTTCTACAGGGACGCCTGCTTGAGCTTAGCTCTGCCAGTGCAGGAAGAAAGTGTGTGTGTGTGTGTGTGTGTGTGTGTGTGTGTGCGCACTAAAGTCTGCACACTGCATAAAGATGTCATGGATTGAAATGGATATCCAGCACCTGGGAGTGAAGCAACTGAAGTATCTGTGAATGCGAAGTTACACTCGCATACAGAAAAAGATGAAGTGAGTTATATTCTCTTTAGCATGAGCTGTGACAGGCCTGTCTTGAAGAAAGTTTTGAAAGTCAGCTGGTCTCGGGCCATCTTAACCGTTATATTTCATCAGAAACGATCTGAAAACAGGAGTGTAAAATGCAGAACTTGTCCTTTAAGCTAAAAAAAGCTACAATTGTACATATACAGTAGATTGTGTTAAATGGTTTGATGTTAGCATGTTGCTTACTTTCCCTAAAAAAAGTAACTAATTGTGTTACTTCGTTACTTTTTATCGAAAGTAATTCGATACATTACTTTTGTGTTACTTTTTTCTCACATGGGCTTTGCTTGCTTGTTTGTGTTTTAATAACAACAACAGAAAAGTTTTATTTTTGGCAAATGTAAAGGCCCTTTCGCACTAATAGTGAAATGAATAAGCCTCAGGCTGAAAGAAATGCAAATTTATGCCTGTACAGAGTGTGCAGTTAAAAATAAACCTTTCAGTGGTTCTGCCATTCTGGATGGGAGAAGAATAGGATACAGGAGAAGAAAGTTCAACCCACTTACTTAAAGGTGGTAGAAAGGTAGAAATTTTCTAAAAAACAAAAACTTTTTCCCAAATTTGTTTAAACTGTCTATATATACCAATACATAATTAAAATGTAAGTACTCTGAAAAACAAAGTATACAAATCGAGTGTCTGTAGTCCTCTCAGTTCTGCAATAAACACAGCTCATTATTTCATTCACTCCCACCCCCTCCCGTCTGGGATCCTTACAAAGCCACGCCCCCAAAACAAATGACTGCGCGCTGCCGACCGCGCTCAGCTGGAGGATGCGTTTACCAGCGCCACGGAGAGAAGCAGTGCATGTAGTGACATCATGTCAGAATCACATGTAATAAAATGCCTAACTTTATCATTATTTATATAAACAACTAACATGGCTGGTAGTACTCACCATCAACCTAGCATATCGGTAGTGGTAATGGTAAAGTTTAAAATATATTGAGTTTGATTCAGTAACGAGCTAGTAACATCAAAACTAAAAACAGGTTGCATTGATGGACGTTTTCCCGTGACCATCAGTTACACTGTGATGAAGGTGAATTTCGTGTAAGATTCATAACAAATAAGTTTTTTTTACATGTAGAGCTTCCACAAAAGCACTGTTGGCGTCACTTTTCAGCCCCAGGTTGTCAGTTGTCGCCACGGCTGGAAAGCCCCGCCGATATTGACTCTTGTCTGACTTCTTGCTTTAGCCTTTTCAAATACTGTCTTCCTTTTTTTGCCTGATTTTTCTTCGCTGACTGTATATGCAGGTATCTGGGAATTTTGACTGCTCTTTCTCTGCCATAATTGTGATTCTTCCTAGCTTCCGTGCCTCTTCCACTCCTCGGGCAAACGTGTGCGGGCATGTGGGCTGCTCTTACGCAGCAGTGCTGGTAGCCATGGTAGCGAGGGAGAGTGACAGTCGCCCGTAATACTTGCGTTACTTATTTGAAAAAGTAACTCCGATATTTTGTTGTAAATTTAAAAGTTATGCGTTATACTAGTTACTTGAAAAAGGTAATCTGATTACATATCTCAAGTTACTTGTAATTCGTTACACCCAACACTGGTTTATCATTAGATTTCCGTAATGAATTAATTATAAGTATACTCAACCATACTTTTGCTTTATCTGCTATCTTGAATGTTCTTTGGTTCATTCTGATATTGCATTTTGTGCCGGATTCGTGTTATCCTCCTTTAGAATTGGGCCAAAAGATTTTCTAAAAAAGTTCGAATGTGCGCACTTTTTTGCACACTTTCTGTGAAATGATGATAATTCTGTGAATATACAGAATTATCCAATCTCATTATCTCATTAACACACTTCAGCATACAGGAACTAAAAGGTTTTCCAAATTAAATTTAATGAGATTTTCCCTCCAAACTCTTTTAAGTTCCAATTATAAGAGGAAAAAACACAACAAGAAAACATTCATAGATGAGATAATTGCAGTTCCATATGGGCCTAGTGATTCATCTCTTGTTACAGAGATCTGCGTGAGTGACTAGAGTGATTGCATGACAAGATTTTGGGGCATTTAAGACTTGTAGCATGTAACATTAGTCTCTCACTTTCCGTGGTTGCGAAATAATGTGTTTGGATGAGTCAAAATCTCTATTTTTAAAGATGAATCAAGAATTGTCTTCTGGTGCTTCACTTATATTATTATAAGCTGCCCATCTGTCCATGAGGAAGTGTAGTCTCCGGATCAAAATTGATTTTTTTTTTCTGTTCAAGATCTGGCATTAAGTGACACAGAGAGAATTTTCTATATTAACTGGTGTATATACAGTACATTTAGAAATTAAGAAAATCAGCCGTGTGTGTTTGCCTCTACTCACTATCATGTTGTTTCCATTGAAGGTAATTGTTTTGTATAGTCAGTGGAACGCTCCTGTGCATGATTTCGCTGAGCGCACTGGATTTTGACAAGCCAAGGGTGTGTGTCTGCCTCCTGGATGTAATATGCTGTGTTTGCTGCTACATTGCACTCTTGTAACGATTAATTTCAGATGCTTGTAGATGGTGTTGGAACGATTACTAAACACATTTATGCTGAAAGTGACAGATAATATGATATATAGTGTTTGTCTCAATTTGACTGATAGTAAAGAAAAGTAAAGACCTTTATAATGTTACAGATTACTATTTCAAATAAATGGTCTTCTTTTGAACTTTCTATTCGTCAAAAAATCCTGAAAAAATATATTACAGATTCCACTAAAATTTTAAGCAACACAATGCTAATGATAATAAATGTTTCTTGAGCAGGTGTGTGTTTGTTCATTGTAAACAGGCCTGAATCGACTGATGACATTGAGATGAAACAGAAGAACAATGCTTTGACCCAGAGCTCAAAAAGCCAGTGATGCCAGAATGAGTTTTAGATTGAACGTTTGCTAATACAGTATGTTAGTTTAAAGGCCTTACTCATGAATATTTATTAGTTTGTGTTGATGTTGCCAGACTGTCCAGTCACGTAACTAATTAAAATTTATGAGTCACCTTGTTATTTATTCATGAATTAATGTGCAGACTTGAGCTGTACATAGATGTTCTATGTTGGCTTAATATTGAGATCAATATTACAATATTACATATTACATCAGCATTAGATGTTTTCTTGTTTTGATAAACTGTCAAAGCATTTTATTAATCCAGAAATCAGGTCTGTAACTTACAATGTCATATTTATGTCAGGTTTAATTCATTTCTCATTTATCACTCTTTCGGGTTCAGATCAGTGGATATTTGCGCAGACCAGACACCTGTTTTTATTTTTTATATACTGTACTTTCTTTGTTCAGTCCAGGCCAACAAAACATTTTAATATCAATCAACTAAATTCAGTTAAGTTGTTGGGCCAGGCTCACATGGGGCAGTTTTACAAGGCATTTGGGAATTGTAGAAGAAAAACCTTTCATGGTTGGTGCCTTTATACTGTATTTTGAATAACCTCAAGCAATAGAATAAGGTATCATGTCCCAAATACGTCAAATCGAGAATGGCTCCCTTGACATTTGCGTTACAGGATTTCGCTCTGTTTCTGGAGCCTTTCTCATGCCTCAGTGTCTCCAGCTCACTTTTGGACAGAAAGGATTTAGTTGTGATGACATTTCTATTGTTCATCTGCTTTTCCTATGGTAATGCTCCATTCCCCTTCATAGAGGATTCTCTGAAATGGTTTGCATTGGGAGGAGACAAAAACAGTAAGAGATGAAGGGAGAGGAGTGGAACGATATTATGAGAATGGATGAAGAAATTCATTCCTACGTCTTTCTCTGATGCTTTCTGTTGCTCTATATTTCCACGTAGAGAGCTACATTTTGTATTTCCACCTCTTTTTTTCTATAAAACAAAGACTCAAGCAAATTGCCGGGTCTGCTTTGATTCTCTCTCTACGAAGCGAACAATGTCTGATCATAAGAAAGAGATTGATGTTAGAGAAGCGAACAGTGCCCTTGCTACCAGCAGATGGACAGACAGGTCCTGCTCAGTCTTTGCAAATTCTGGACACTTCAGTCAATGTTTGAACTATTTGCATATTCACTCAGTTCTGAATCATGTATCAGACATACATTTATTGATTTATGTTGTTCTATTATTTTTTTAATGGGATTATGGATATTATAATATATACTGTGAATGATCTGAGGAGATTTTGGAAGTGGAATATAACAGCTTGGCAGATTTATATATATATATATATATATATATATATAATGTAACTTTAAAATATATTAATTGAATGCCGTAATAAAACAAAAAGTTTGTAAAAAAAAAAAAAAAGTACTGATCCCAAAATTTTGTACAAGAGTCTGTATAACGCTTGCACAAATGTGAATACTTCCGACTACTTTAATTCTCTGTGATATTTCTCTACATTTCTTTGTTTTGTTATAGATTTAAATTGGCTTAATTTACTGTTTTATTATTTGAGGTAACATGCAGTTTGGGTTCAGGGTCCTGTCAGGTTCCTAATGATTTGTTAGCTTTCTAAAGCTCTGTTGCAGTGGGCTTGTGTCTGGCCCTGCAGTGTGTTGTTAATCATTTGGCCTCAGGCCCCCGTCTCACACGTAGCCTGTGTATGGATAGAGGAAAAGACTCTGTCACTGTCTCAATCAGCCACAAACAAACAGATTGATCGATTATTTGAGTATAAATGCTCTGAGGCAAATAGAACGCAAAGTCGCACACGCACACATCTACACACAAGTCAGTGAGTACAAAGCAGTTCTTGTTCACAGTGGTGGCTCCTAATTATCTTCCGTCTGAGGAAATTGGGCTCCGTTAGAGAAACACTTCTTTTTTTCAATTAGCTGGTCATGTATGGATGACTTCATTGGCACCTTGCTGCCAGTAATATTCACACCCTCCGCAGAGTTAATGCCAGAAAAATGCCACTGAGAGCATGATCAAGACATAACTGACCCTCATTAGAGCCCAAAATGAAGTTGAGGACTGATAATGTTCGTTCACACAGAGCCTTTCATTTTTCTGCTTGTTTGAAAAGGAGTAGAAATAAGAGCAATGAAATTTGATTGAATGAGGATTTACAAAATCAGCTATATTACCATTCCTTCATGTATCTTTTTACAAAACCGATATTTTTTTCACAGCAAGCATTGTTTTTATAGAACATTATACCATCAGTTTGTACCGCATAGTAATTCCAGTAAATTACTGTCAAATTAACAGTAAAACTTCTGAAATTGTACAGAACTGATTAACTGTTCACACATGATTTACAAGTAATTTACCAATAAAGACTGTATGTGTGAAAGTGGTTAGTCAGTGACAATAACCCAATATTGAGAAAATTTTAACTTTATACAAATTAGCAGTGATACTGCAACCTACTTATATACATATAATGTATGTGTGTGTGTGTGTACAGTATGTCTATTATATATATTTAAAATATGTATAATATAATATTTTTATATTATACAGTGCTGACTTGGAAAACTCAACAATGTTTGGTTTTCTGTGTCTTTTGGACAAGTCAGCAAACTGTATAATTAGTCAGTCCTCTTGAAAGTTGTTAGATACACTTCAAGGTTAAGATGAAATTGGTACAATAGCCTGTATCTCGTATAGAAAATGAATGTATTTTTGTGTCTCCTTTTTATGTTGTATTTTGTGTATATGGACCTGTGTCTGCAAAAAATGTTAGTATTATTAATAATATATAATATAGTCTATTAACAAAAAACATAATTCATTTTGTGATTCCAGAAGTTTTAAGAACATCTTTTTTTTTTGGCATTTTAGTAAAGTTAGATTATTTTAATATATTTATAATCATGTTATATTAATATTTTTGTATCTCCTTTTTATGTTGTATTTTGTGTATATGGACCTGTGTCTGCAAAAATGTTTGCATCCTACAGATACTAAAAATCAGCATGCTTAGAAAGACTTTGAACAACTTTAAACTTAATAGATATAAATAGTTATCATAACATCATAATATACATCATATACATACATAATTCACCTACTACAGTATTTTGCTAAATGTACCCGATTTTTCATTTCAACAGAAACATTTACAGAGATAACCTGGCTTCCTTTGAGACTCAGAGCAGTTAATAGCATGCTTCCCGGCACATTGATGTGATTGGATACAAGGAGGTCTGTGACATAAGAAACACCTGCGATTTCAAACCTGCGATTTTTTTTTTTTTTTTTTTTTTTTTTTTTTTTTTTTTTTTTTGAGATTGCGTCTTTGGTTCACTGGAATTTTAAGGAGAAAATACTCAGCAATGGTGTTGACTAATGAATTTGTACATTGTTTGCCTTACACTACATTAAAAACTTGATTTTCACCACAAGGGGTCTTTAAGGTAAGTCAGTCCATTCGGTGGCCATCTTGGAAGCACTCAGCTCCTGCCTACTTGAATGAGAAAAGTTGGTCAAAGTTTCTTCCAAACTATGTTTTAGTAACATACTCTTAACGTTTCTTTTTGTCTCTTCCTTCTCAATATCTGTCTATATAGCCACAGCTTCCTGTAACTGCAAAACAACGTTGGAGGTTTAACAGTTAACGTAACAAAAACCCCACACACCACTCCTCCCTGCCTCAAAGCTCCTCATACTGCATGGTCATGGCGATGAGCAGTGATCCTGGTTGCTTGGGGTTGGACCTTGACCCAGACTCTTCCCCGACTGCTGAAATGACTGACAAGATGTCTGCAATGTCCCTAAGGTCTGACCCTACCTCCAGCGTATTGAAGAATGGGACAGGTGTGAAGAAAGCTCTGCCCAAGAGGCCACACCTGTCAGGCAGGAAGATGTCATTGCAGGAGAGAGGGACATACGTATCTTCTGGCGGCGGGGCTGAGCGCTACTCCCGAATAGCCAGACAGCCAACCATCGAGTCCAGACGAGTGTCCATCTCAGACTCGCAGGTGAGAGGCATTTAAGTATCGCCATGGTTTTGTATGAAATATTTTTCATCTGATCGTTACATTTACTTTTTTAGGACTTGATAAATAGTTTTTTTGATGACCGATATCTTCAGGGTGGCTAAAGGCCGATATAAACATTTAATAAATAAACATTACAATTTTTACTTTAGATAACAACTTATTGATTCTGTAATCCTATTGTAGTATGTTTTGCAAATAAAGAAATTGTTGAAAAACAAAAAAAAAAGGTAAATTGTACAATGGTAAAAAAAAAAAAGTAAATTGTAAAAGAAAATGGCAAATGGTGGAAAGTATAGATAATAATATAGTAAGTCTGCACATTATTTACAAAAACATATAACAAATAACAATAATCATTTAACAAAAAAATCCTAGGTAATGCTGTTTTTGCATACAAAACATAGTGAATATGACATAGCGGTCAACTTTTAACTGCCATAAAACCTGGTGAACATGTGGCTCATTTTGAATTTACGCAAATGCAAATGAGAACTAAAAGCAATTTTGTGTAGAATTAATTAAAACTCAACCTGTTCTTCAAACAAAGTTATCATATGGCTTAAGGTTTGTTGCTCGTGTTTCTTCAGTGACAGCAGATTTGTGCATGAATGGAACAGATTTCTTAAAGTTTGTACAGTTCTTGGAATTAAACATTTGCTAGATAATCAAAGACATGTTTAAATGATATTAATGTCTATTTGCTGAATGCCGATGGTTTATGAGAAATCTGGTTACTTCTCTTACATAGCATGAAGTGTGTGTGTGTGTGTGTGTGTGTGTGTGTGTGTGTGTGTGTGTGTGTGTGTGTTCTGGTAATCATCACTTTGTGGGGACAAGAATCTGTTTACACAGTCACGTAATGGGGACCTCTTGCGTTGTGGGGACCAAAAATCAGGTCCCCATAAGGTTAACCCATTTAATTGGATAGAGGAACTATTCTGAAGGTTCTGGGCGGAGTTTTAGCATTGGCCCATAACACATGATTATCAGGTATTGTGCGTGTGTGTAGCGGGAGCTCTGCTGCGCCCCCAAACATTTTTGGCTGGTAATGCACTCACTTCTCCACACACACATTTTCCAATTATGGGTGGGTACCGCCCACTTCCGGGTCCTCGTTAGGAAGGAGTTCGACAGCAACTTGAAAATACAAGTATTAAATTGATAACGTTACTTCACACGGAGAACAAAGAAGAAGATTAACGTTATTTACTGGAGATGCCAACGATCTGAACTTCTGCCGAGGATAAAAGTGAAGCTTAAGGTAAGCACACATAATAAATCAATTAGGTTAATTAGATTAGTCTGCGGGCTAGCTAGTTAGTGCTAATTGTTGAGGCTAACGCAGTTAAGTGTGGCCTTACATGTTTCTCTGTTTTTCCAATTAGCGATCACATAATCATGCAATTTCATGTTAAGGACTTAATTTTAACTGAAAAGTGTTGTGTAGTCTGACTGATTGCTAATGGATTCGGTTTTTAAGGTTGTTTTTGTCTAGTTTGCGCTAGTGCTGGACGGTGGCTTATTTTATATTTTAAATTGAAGATATCTTACATGTAACGTTAACACTTATGTTTGACTGATCAATAATTGTTTTTACATTTAAATTAACTCTATAGGCAGCATATACAAGCCACAGATCTTGACCAAAGTGCTTAACAGAGAAATTAAGTTGGCTAAAATAAAACAAAAACTAAAATAGAAAGTAGCTTTAAGAATAAACTTAATTTTAATTATGACGGTAGTTAAAATAAACTGGGGTTTGTATGGTGAGCTCGTTCAAAAGAGTAACTTGGTTAGGTTAAGGACCAAATGAATAGTTAAATAATTGCCAAGGCTAATGTTACCTGGAATAAAATAGAAGATGGTGAGTTGATGCTCTCAAGGCTAGCATTGTTGTGCCAGTCAATAAATCTAATATTATTTTATAGAGTTCATATGTCTTGTCTTACACTGATGCATACAATATCATTGTAATGCTGTAACATTACAATACCATTTTTATCTACTTCTTGAACATATTAGTTGAATTCTGCGTATCTTCATTTTCAGTGTAATTACTTTCACATGTTTTTATTTTTCATCAGTTTGAAATGCCACCACGAATCAGCCCCCTTAAGGATGCCATGCATCATGTTGTTTCAAAAACTGACAAAACATTCAAATTAGATGTGAAGTATATCAGTGCAGTGAAAGGTAAGGTGGTGTGATTTTTATCATGAAATATTTACCAAGATATGCATTTCCTAACCATAATCTTATGAGCATGTAATGCAAAACTCCTGGGTATATTTAATCAGACCCCTGGTTGCAGCTTATTTTAAATCAGCTGCCAACTATTGATGACTTTTTTAGTGTATTTGGTATCCTTTATCTATAAGATTTTATTAATTTAAAATTTATTTTTTTCTGTATTTGCAGGACGTGGTCTATTTGCAAAGGCTGCCTTTTGCAAAGGTGATTTTGTTGTTGAGTACAGGGGAGATATGATAAATGAAGCAGAACTTCAGAGGAGAAGAAAACGTTACCACGCATCCTGTGCTGCATTTATGTTTGATTTCAAGTGGCGAGGGAAAACATGGTGGTAAGAAGTCAAGTTGTACCAAAGCTATATAAAAAGATAGTAAAAATACATTGATTTGTGGTGGTTTAATTGTATTACTTGTAATCATCCTTTTCTCATGGTTTCATATTTAAGTATTGACGCGTCAAGGGAAGATGGATCGTATGGGCGTATCGCTAATGATTGCCACAATCATCCAAATTGTAAGATGAAAAAAATTGACGTCAATGGAAAGCCTCACCTTTGTCTGTTTGCCCTGAATGACATTAAAGAAGGAGAAGAAATTGCCTATGATTATGGGGGAGAAGACTACCCATGGAGAACACAAGTATGTTGTTAAGCACACTGTGTACAAAATAGGTCATATTTTTGCAACATGTCAACAAATTTGTTGGTTGAATAGATTAGAATTTAAATCTATTAGAAATCTATGAATCAAATTTGTCTGTTCCAATAAATTATATCCAAATCCCCAAATCAACTCTCCTCAACAGGTGAGTTTAGGTGAATCATTGTGAATGTTGTCTCTTACAGATGACCAGCGTTGCTGTTAAAACCAGCACAGTGAATGACTCTGATCCTTCTCTCCAGTCAGTGACTCAGATGGATGAAGAATCTGCTCAAATCAACCCTCCTCAACAGGTGAGTTCACATTCATTAGTAAAGATTTAGGTTTTTTGTCATGGTTTAGTGATTTGTAAGCATATTTTGATGAGTATCTGGTGTAAACTAGTATATTAAACTGTTTTACGACATGTGCTCAGTAGATCAGTTGTAGTGCAGTATTTAGGGCCACTTTTATCCTTCACAGGATTTTTTTTCTGGGTTAATTGTTGCATTGAAATGGACACTTACGACGTCCCCACAACACACTTTTGGTCAGTATTTGAGTTCACACCCGTGTTTTGAATTTGATGAAACTGGTCCCCATAAGGAACTATAACGTTGTGTGTGTAAAGTCCCCATGAGGCTGGTTTTAATCCAGATGTGTGTGTGTGAGCGCGCACTAGAGTTAGACTGGACAGGAAATATGTTATAGATGTAGTTGATTTCGTTTTACATTCTCAAATCATGTGGTATCTGCTTCAGATTTCTCTCATCTTTTTCCATTTTCTAAAATCTTGTCATTGTGAATGTTGTCTCTTACAGATGACCAGCGTTGCTGTTAAAACCAGCACAGTGAATGACTCTGATCCTTCTCTCCAGTCAGTGACTCAGATGGATGAAGAATCTGCTCAAATCAACTCTCCTCAACCGGTGAGTTCACATTCATTAGTAAAGATTTAGGTTTTTTGTCATGGTTTAGTGATTTGTAAGCATATTTTGATGAGTATCTGGTGTAAACTAGTACATTAAACTGTTTTACGACATGTGCCCAGTAGATCAGTTGTAGTGCAGTATTTAGGGCCACTTTTATCCTTCACGGGATTTTTTTTCTGGGTTAATTGTTGCATTGAAATGGACACTCACGACGTCCCCACAACACACTTTTGGTCAGTATTTGAGTTCACACCCGTGTTTTGAATTTGATGAAACTGGTCCCCATAAGGAACTATAACGTTGTGTGTGTAAAGTCCCCATGAGGCTGGTTTTAATCCAGATGTGTGTGAGCGCACACAGAGTTAGACTGGACAGGAAATATGTTATAGATGTAGTTGATTTCGTTTTACATTCTCAAATCATGTGGTATCTGCTTCAGATTTCTCTTGTCTTTTTCCATTTTCTAAAATCTTGTCATTGTGAATGTTGTCTCTTACAGATGACCAGCGTTGCTGTTAAAACCAGCACAGTGAATGACTCTGATCCTTCTCTCCAGTCAGTGACTCAGATGGATGAAGAATCTGCTCAAATCAACTCTCCTCAACAGGTGAGTTCACATTCATTAGTAAAGATTTAGGTTTTTTGTCACGGTTTAGTGATTTGTAAGCATATTTTGATGAGTATCTGGTGTAAACTAGTACATTAAACTGTTTTACGACATGTGCCCAGTAGATCAGTTGTAGTGCAGTATTTAGGGCCACTTTTATCCTTCACGGGATTTTTTTTCTGGGTTAATTGTTGCATTGAAATGGACACTTACGACGTCCCCACAACACACTTTTGGTCAGTATTTGAGTTCACACCCGTGTTTTGAATTTGATGAAACTGGTCCCCATAAGGAACTATAACGTTGTGTGTGTAAAGTCCCCATGAGGCTGGTTTTAATCCAGATGTGTGTGTGTGTGAGCGCGCACTAGAGTTAGACTGGACAGGAAATATGTTATAGATGTAGTTGATTTCATTTTACATTCTCAAATCATGTGGTATCTGCTTCAGATTTCTCTCATCTTTTTCCATTTTCTAAAATCTTGTCATTGTGAATGTTGTCTTACAGATGACCAGAGTTGCTCTTAAAACCAGCACAGTGAATGACTCTGATCCTTCTCTCCAGTCAGTGACTCAGATGGATGAAGAATCTGCTCAAATCAACTCTCCTCAACAGGTGAGTTCACATTCATTAGTAAAGATTTAGGTTTTTTGTCACGGTTTAGTGATTTGTAAGCATATTTTGATGAGTATCTGGTGTAAACTAGTACATTAAACTGTTTTACGACATGTGCCCAGTAGATCAGTTGTAGTGCAGTATTTAGGGCCACTTTTATCCTTCACAGGATTTTTTTTCTGGGTTAATTGTTGCATTGAAATGGACACTCACGACGTCCCCACAACACACTTTTGGTCAGTATTTGAGTTCACACCCGTGTTTTGAATTTGATGAAACTGGTCCCCATAAGGAACTATAACGTTGTGTGTGTAAAGTCCCCATGAGGCTGGTTTTAATCCAGATGTGTGTGTGTGAGCGCGCACTAGAGTTAGACTGGACAGGAAATATGTTATAGATGTAGTTGATTTCATTTTACATTCTCAAATCATGTGGTATCTGCTTCCGATTTCTCTCATCTTTTTCCATTTTCTAAAATCTTGTCATTGTGAATGTTGTCTTACAGATGACCAGAGTTACTGTTAAAACCAGCACAGTGAATGACTCTGATCCTTCTCTCCAGTCAGTGACTCAGATGGATGAAGAATCTGCTCAAATCAACTCTCCTCAACAGGTGAGTTCACATTCATTAGTAAAGATTTAGGTTTTTTGTCACGGTTTAGTGATTTGTAAGCATATTTTGATGAGTATCTGGTGTAAACTAGTACATTAAACTGTTTTACGACATGTGCCCAGTAGATCAGTTGTAGTGCAGTATTTAGGGCCACTTTTATCCTTCACGGGATTTTTTTTTCTGGGTTAATTGTTGCATTGAAATGGACACTCACGACGTCCCCACAACACACTTTTGGTCAGTATTTGAGTTCACACCCGTGTTTTGAATTTGATGAAACTGGTCCCCATAAGGAACTATAACGTTGTGTGTGTAAAGTCCCCATGAGGCTGGTTTTAATCCAGATGTGTGTGAGCGCACACAGAGTTAGACTGGACAGGAAATATGTTATAGATGTAGTTGATTTCGTTTTACATTCTCAAATCATGTGGTATCTGCTTCAGATTTCTCTTGTCTTTTTCCATTTTCTAAAATCTTGTCATTGTGAATGTTGTCTCTTACAGATGACCAGCGTTGCTGTTAAAACCAGCACAGTGAATGACTCTGATCCTTCTCTCCAGTCAGTGACTCAGATGGATGAAGAATCTGCTCAAATCAACTCTCCTCAACAGGTGAGTTCACATTCATTAGTAAAGATTTAGGTTTTTTGTCACGGTTTAGTGATTTGTAAGCATATTTTGATGAGTATCTGGTGTAAACTAGTACATTAAACTGTTTTACGACATGTGCCCAGTAGATCAGTTGTAGTGCAGTATTTAGGGCCACTTTTATCCTTCACGGGATTTTTTTTCTGGGTTAATTGTTGCATTGAAATGGACACTCACGACGTCCCCACAACACACTTTTGGTCAGTATTTGAGTTCACACCCGTGTTTTGAATTTGATGAAACTGGTCCCCGTAAGGAACTATAACGTTGTGTGTGTAAAGTCCCCATGAGGCTGGTTTTAATCCAGATGTAGATCAAGATGTAATCCAGATGATCAAGCTTTGCTGGACAGGAATATATATATATATATATATATATATATATAATTTTTGTTTTCTTGCGCTTTTTATTTTTACATGTCAAATACTAAAATGTTGTTTACACTGTTTTCTTTTCTTTTTACAGATTGTGATACAACACCGAAATGAAAATGACATTTTTGTACCAAGACTGAGACGGACTAAAAGTATTGTGGTAAGTCCTCAAGTTGCAACAAGAGACTCAATTGCTATGTTTACATGCACACGTTGGAGTTTTTCCCTCTTTTGCTCCTCTCTTTTAAATTTTAAAATCGTCGATAATTTGAAAGCGAAAGTTAAATGTAAAGGGCATTCATAATTTGAGTCCATTCTTATGGAAGCTTGCTCTGCTCGCTTTTTACATAGGATAAAGGTGTTTGCATATGAAGGCTTTTCAGTCTGATTAAAGGAGAACTCTGGCGAACAATGAACCTTTGGTCTAATAATACATCGGTACATAGTCAATCGTTCTCTGAGATTTGTTTTCATGATAATCGAATATAAAGAGTTTTATCTCTAAAAACTGTTTAGCGTATAATGCTAGTAATGGGGGCATTGAGTAAGTAAAAAGAAATCGCTAGTTTATACCACTAACAAGGCTCAAAATAGCCCCACACTAACGCAGTAACATAATGAGGCTCCATACATGCAAAACGAAGCATTGAGAACTTTGTAAGTGTACAGACCGTTTAATAAGAAGATACTTTATGAAGACAGTTCACTGTTAATGTATGCAGACAGAAGCCATCTTAGAAAATAAGTCTCGATAAGTCAAACCACGAACGTCGTGCTGAGTGATCTGAACTGTATGAAGTTCATTGAACTTCTGAACTGTATGAACGGCGTTCGTGGTTTGACTTATCGAGACTTTTTTAAGATGGCTCCTGTCTGTATACACAAAGTGAACCGTCTTCATAAAGTATCTTCTTATTAAACGGTCTGTACACTTACAAAGTTCTCAATGCTTCGTTTTGCATGTATGGAGCCTCATTATGTTACTGTGTTAGAGTGGGGCTATTTTGAGCCTTGTTAGTGGTATAAACTAGCGATTTCTTTTTACTTAGTCAATGCCCCCATTACTAGCATTATACGCTAAACAGTTTTTAGAGATAAAACTCTTTACATTCGATTATCATGAAAATAAATCTCATGATCTCAAATCTCATCAAAGAGAACGATTGACTAGGTACCAATGTTTTATTAGACCAAAGGTTCATTGTTCGCCGGAGTTCTCCTTTAAGCCGTCAGTCTGATTTCTAATGGATTATTTGGTTGCATGTAAACGTAACCATTGTCATTTGTTATTGATAAGTTATTTTGCTTAGAGCTGCCATCAACATTTTATTCTCATCAATCACTCAGTGAAATATAATTTAGGCTATGTAATTAATAAATTATGTGATAAATCATTTTGACTGCAAAATATCAGTGAATCAAAAAAATCGCATCCCCTTTATTTGAAATCAGATGTCCTTATTTGTGTCAGATCAACTGCCCAAAATGTTTTATTACACTTAAGAACTTTAGTGTAACAAGCAGTAAGAAGCTGCAAATCACATGTAACTTGTAAATTTAAAAAAAATACTTGAACAGTACTTTTTTTTAAATAGTTGCCAATTTATATCTTTTAATGATCAATTAAATGCAGCAGTTCTACCTATTTCTAATGAACTTTTTGATATTTCTTGTTTACTTTTTTAAGATGAAAGACATTGATCTTCAAGATTCTGGTGAGCTCTTTGATTCTACACCAGAGAGTTCAGATAATTATGTTCCAGATACCACTTCCGACAGTGACTGTGACAGTGATGTTAGCCTTACACTGAACCCAACAAAACGTCAGCTTCTTGATCAACTGGATATGAATGAATCTGCCTCTGTAAGCTCCCCTGACTGTGACTCAACAACGTCAGACAATATGCACAGCGTTACGTCTAAAGCATCTGGAACAGTAGAAGAGCCCAGTTCAAGTCAGAACACAATAGACTGCGTAGTTGTTAATGCATACCATAAAAGAGATGGTGGTAGAGTGTATAACAAGAGACATTACTGCTTGTATTGCTCCAAACCTTACGCTAAGATGGCAAGGCATCTAGAAAGTTCACATGCAAATACATCTGATGTGGCTAGAGCTCTAAGCTTTCCAAAATGTTCAAAGGAGAGAAAAAAACAGTTGGATTATATTCGCAACAAAGGGAACTATGCCCACAATGCTGCGGTTATGGAATCAGGAAAGGGGGAACTGGTGCCATTTAAACGACCACCTAAAAAAGCACTGGGAGAGGATTTCATGCATTGTGCATACTGTCAAGGACTTTTTACGAGAAAGGTCCTTTGGCGACATATGCGTTCTTGCAGACTTAAACCTCAGTCAGTCCCCCCCAAACCAGGAAAAAACCGTGTTCAGTCCATGTGTACATACACGGGGCCTGTGCCTTCAAACATGACCAAACAACTGTGGGGAGTAATCAGTGCCATGAATCCTGACCCAATCACAGATATTATAAAAAATGACAAAGTAATTACTGAAATTGGGCAGCACTTGTTGAACAAAGGAGGGATATCAGCCAAAAATCAACAGTATGTGCGGGAGAAGATGCGAGAATTGGGACGGTTGATTCACAAGGCGAGGAGAGTCACCTCGTTAAAAACGATGGAAGATTGTGTAAATCCAAAGAAGTACATGGAGACTGTCAAAGCTGTGAAGTATACGTGTGGGTATGACAGTGAAACAGACAAGTTCATGATTCCATCGCTTGCAAATAAGCTTGGGAATTCCCTGGTTAAAGTGAGCAAACTCTTAAAAGCTCAGGGATTAATCTCAAATGACAAACAGCTTGTTAAGAATGCCAGTGAGTTTCTAGAAGTCCATCAGAACAAGTGGAACGAGTTGATCTCGGCTACAGCATTGAGGAACATCAGTGAAGCAAAGTGGAATGTGCCCACTATCATGCCCTTTACTGAAGACGTCCAGAAAATGCACACACATCTCAGTGAAGTGCAAGAGAAGTGGTTCAAAACACTCTCTGGAAGTCCCTCTACTAAAACCTGGATGGAGCTGGCAAAGGTGTGTCTAGCCCAGATGATTCTCTTTAACCGCCGCAGGGAAGGAGAGGTTTCGAGTATGCCTTTGTCTGCATTTCTTTCAAGAGACACTTCTCATCCACATGAGGATGTGGACTGGGCACTTTCTGAAGTGGAAAAAAAACTCTGCAGACACTTCACAAGGGTTATCACAAGAGGAAAGCGTGGTCGACCAGTTCCAATTCTTCTGACTCCAAAAATGCTATGTGCCTTAGAACTCCTTGTTAAGCAGAGAGAGGTTTGTGGGGTTCTGAAAGACAATCCCTATATGTTTGCAAGACCAGAAGCCATGACACATTTTCGAGGGTCAGACTGCCTCCGTGGCTTTGCTAAGGTGTGTGGCGCAAAGTGTCCCAAGTCACTGACATCTACAAGGCTGCGAAAGCATGCCGCAACGCTTTCAACAGTGCTGAATATGACTGACACCGAGATGGACCAGCTGGCAAACTTCCTTGGACACGACATAAGAATCCATCGTGAGTTCTATCGACTCCCTGAGAAGACCTTGCAACTTGCCAAGATCAGCAAAGTTCTAATGGCACTTGAACAAGGAAGATTAGCTGAGTTCCATGGCAAGAACTTGGATGAAATTGGGATAGATCCTGATGGTGTGGTATTTTATTTGACGTTTGTTTGATTTTTCTGTTTACCATCTATTCAAATACCATGTTTACGATCTATTATATGCCATTAAGCTTTACTTTGAACTTCCACAGAAAAAGTTCTTAACTCTGATGAGGAAGACGAGAGCATAACAGAGGGACTCTGTTCATCTACTGTTGACGGTTTGTATTACTTTCAAAATACACTACTAGATTTTGCAGTTATTCATAGGTTTCAGTCACTTTACTTGTGAAGACCTGACATGCAAAAACAATGTTCTAACATCAAAGCCAACATTAAAGAAGATTCTTCAGTATGCTGAACAAAAGCTTTTTTCTTTTTTTATTAACGAAACTGCTCATTGTGTAATGAATCAAATGCCTCCAAGCTATTCTTCAAAATGTCTTGCACTAAACATTTATTTTGGAGTGAATATTTTTTGTGGACTTTACTACCATAAAAATTATGTTTCATAAGAGAAACGTGCACATTTTTCGTAAAATGCTAGCTGATCCGTTCTCTTCTCGTGTTTGTTGTGTTATGGCACTAAATGAACCATGTCAGATTATCAAGTAATTAACCATTTTATTTCATGTCTTAGTTTGCTTGAGCTTATGTTTGATTAAATGTCTGCTGGAAAGATGCAGTTCAATTATACTTGCAATAATGAAAAATTACACAGGTTTAAGAGTTTATTGTACTTTAATGATTTAAAATAATCCGTGCATAAGTGTGACTAAACACATTGTGTATTGTCTGTTGGAAAATTTTCCTTCGAACCAACAGACATTGGGATATCTTTCAAGCAGGATTCTTTACTGAGAACTCACTGTCCTGTTTATATACCTTTCAAGGGGGAGGGATTTACATAGAGGTGGAGACACTCTGAAACAAAGCATGTAAATGAAGTACGGAAGTCAGTTCATTACTAGAAATTCCCCATCCCTGATCTCATTAGCATAACAGTGTCATTCAGATACATGGGTGATAATCCATTCAGCCTGACTATTCAACGACTGGAACGGGCTCCTAGAGCCATTTAAAGACGGTCTTAGTAATTTGACTTGTTTAACCTACAATAGAGAAACAGGACTGGCAGGAATCTTTGGCTGGAAACTCTTGAGGAAACTCAATTGTCAGCATTTTATAGTAAATTTTAAAATGTATATCTTTCTGAAAACATTGAACTTTGATTATTTTCCATAGAACCATCTTCAGAGGTGGCACTTCCTCCTACCGAGAGGAGTGACATGCCGCCACCACCCAAGAGACGCAGACTACCAGCAGATGAAGAGATGCCTACAGAAGCCAGTGCTGTGAGGCCTTCTTCCAAAGGTGAAATCTTTACACGTTTCTAAAACTAAATTAGACAATTTAGGAGCACTTTGATACCCAGATTTCAGACCAGATCACTAAATGCTGATTTTGTTTTTTTTGCCATTTCCTGTTTTCTGCCATTTTGAGACGTTTCCGCCAAATCTTTAGTGATTTGAAAACTTGCAACTTAATTGTTCCTCTACACCAGTCCTTAGGTCTTTACACTGGCTCCCAGTTACATTTAGGATTGATTTTAAAGTATTATCACTGTTATATAAATCATTTAATGGGTTAGGACCTCAATATATTGTAGATATGCTCACTGAATATAAACCCAACAGATCACTTAGATCACTAGGATCACATCAGCTAGAAATACCAAGGGTTCACTCTAAGCATGGAGAGTCTGCTTTTAGCTATTATGCTGAACCAGCGTCCAGAAGAGATCAGGTGTGCTCCTACAGTAGTCACATTCAAATCCAGACTCAAAACACATCCGTTTAGCTGTGCATTTACTGAATGAGCACTGTGCCACTGTTCGTACGACTGTTACTGTATTTTATTTAATGTTCTTATTCTAAACTGTTTTAATTATTTACTGTATTTTATTTTTTATTCTAAATTGTTTTAATTATTCTGATTTATTTTGATTATTTTTATTTCTTCTATGCAAAGCACTTTGAGTTACCATTGTGTATGAAATGTGCTATATAAAAAAACTTGCCTTGCACATGAATTTCAATATCATAATGCTCAGGAACCCTTCTGTAGTTTAGTTGTCTTGGGCGGTGAGAAGTTGAAATCAGGTCAACTTTTATGGTAATGAGCTATGACGTGGTTCTGCGGCACCCAATTGTAATGTAGAAGTGCTCTGCTTTAGAGGATTCCAGAGAATGCAGTCAAGTAACTTTGGTTCCGTCCACATTATTTCCCAAGCACAATAGGAGAGATTGATCATTTGAATTTGATAAGAAGGCGCGCAACACTGTCTATAGGCTTGATTTTCGTGCTAGAACACTTGTTTATCAGTGGGAATGTAAAGTTGAATAGCACTTAACCATTAACACAAAAGCCACACCACATAAATGGCTTTTAATTGGTTTATTTCATTCGCAAACATGTCACTATAATAAAGTTATTTCCTTTGATCAATGTTCTGCAAAAATAACTAATTGACATGCTTGTTTGCTTTTGCGGCCCCTTTAAATGGTTTAAAAAAAGACCAAGCATTCGATTTATGTCAGAGTGTCCACGAATCTTTCCACGGCCTCGCTGGCCTGACGGCCAGAGCGATATATATATTTTTTTTTTTTTCCCCCGAGCTTTCTATAGTGAATTATCGTGTGTGTGAGTTGAGTATATGCTGAGTTTCGGCTCATTTCTGTTCGGCTCATTTTCTTCTCACACAGTAAAGTGTCTCCACACACGCACACAGATATGAGTCTAATGTTAATCTGATAAATGTGTTATTAGAGTGAGTGACTTGTAAAGTTATTACTACTTGCATGTTTCAAGTGATAAGCCATATTTAAGGTCATTGACTGATAGGCGAATGTTTGGATTTCATTCAGACTGCCGTTATTGATTTGTCTGTCAAAGCCTGCGTGATAACCTGCAAGCTTTTTTTTTCTTCCTGCGACTAACTAATAAAATCATAGTTGATTATTAGAGGGCAGACCTAATAAATACTGATTATAGGATTTAGAACTACAGATTGTAATTGCAGCACACACACTTTTATCATTTCAATAGTTTTTTTTCTGTCCACTTAGGTAAAAGTACCCAGAAGACACCCTGGCAGCAGACAGAGGTGCAGGCGGTGGAAAGGCACATGCAGCGATTCATCACATCGCTCACTGTACCAGCAAAGAGCGACTGTGAAAAGTGCTTGAAAGCTGAACCAGGAGCACTGAAGAACCGTGATTGGAAGAATGTAAAATTTTACATTTATAATCGTATTACAGCTTACAAAAAGAAATTCCAGTGCAAATAATAATAATGTGAACATCATGGCAGGTTTTGTTCAAAGATTTTAAAGGGTTAAAGATGTTTTAAGGTTTACTATCCCTTTAAAACTACAGAAACACTTGTAGGCTATAGAATAATTTTGTTTGCCATATGTTTTATGATGACTGTGATGGCCACCAGTCGGAAAACATTGATCAAACAACATTTCAAATAGAGTGTCATGTTTGCAGTACAGTATGTTTATGATGACCGTGATGACCACCAGTCGGAAAGCATTGGTTGGACAAAGTTAATTTAAAGTCGTAGTTTGTTTAAATTCACATGTATGTGAAAGGAAGCATGTGTGAAAGTTATTTTTTTTTATATACTTTTAATATCAGGACCTTGTTTTTAGGTATGACTTCATTTTGAGTTTTGTGAAGCTGAGTTCAATAAAAGTTGAATTCCGCAATCGTAATGTGAATTAATGTATTGAAGCTCAATTAGTAGTATGTGTCTCAAATAAGTGTCAGGTGAATGAGAAGCAGCTGATGCTTGGAGGAGGTTGACTGAAAAATTACAATAATAGAAAGGATAATTTGTGGGTATGAAATGGGTCACTAGCACCATATGCGGGCCTTACTATATCTCCACATTAAGTAATCAAAGTTGTTCTACTGCATATTTTAATTCTCCTTGCTTGTAGATTAAACCCATTTTTAAGGGCAAATGGATAAATGAAATCTGAAGATTTACTAGTGTAAATGCCTATTATTTTTCTATCTAGGTCCCCACAAATCAACTGGGAGGTTGTGTGAATTATGCAAATTGGGTCCCCACAAATCGAAAGGGAGGTGTGAATTATGCAAAGTGGGTCCCTATGAGACATGTCCACTCGATTTTTCAAATGTCCCCATTGTGCATGATCAAATCATTACTTCATCAATTCAGATATTTAAAGGCGTGTATAAGTTGTCAAAGTTATGGTAAGTATCCCTAATTTTTTTTATACTTCTAAACCCTTTAGAAAGGGTGGTCCCCACAGGTGATGGTCATAAAGTTGGTCCCCATCCAACATGGAAACCAGTGTGTGTGTGTGTGTGTGTGTGTGTGTGTGTGTGTGTGTGTGTGTGTGTGTGTGTGTGTGTGTGTGCGTTTGAAGCAAAATTAATTTCCTGTGATTAGTGTCCAGGACAGGTGACCCATACAGCCATTCTTTAATAAGGCTATTTTCATTAATACACAGCCTCAGCAACCCCCCCACCCACACACACACCCTTCATGGATATATATATGTGTGTGTGTGTGTGTGCATGTTAATTTGGCTTAAGCCTGTCTGAAGAATGAGACGCTGCTCTGAGAGGATCATCAGCTGGTCTGATTCTCCTCATTTGCTCTCACACTTCTCCATTGATAACCGTAGAGTGGAAACACTCGTAACTCTAAAGCTATTTAGTTTGAATCATTTTCATGTTCATACTGGTGTATTTGCAGTATTTTATTTACTAAAACTCATTAAATATTTATCAATATTTACAAATCAAACTGATTCAGTTGAGTCAGTAGCCTAAGTGAGTCCTACAGTATTATTTTTTATGATACATTGGATTTATGCTCTAGTACTAGGCCTTCATTTCTGTGTAAATAGTTTCAGATTTATGCCAGATTTTTTTTTTTTGACGCATGAAGAAAATATATTTAGTTTTTAATGTGGGGTCATATTGACCCCGAAGACTAGAAGTGTAAACATTTTTGTATGTACCTTCAGAACAACCGAATCAAGCCCAGCTTTTTTTTGTTTTTTTGTTTGTGTATGTGTGTATAGATAGATAATGTATGAAAAGTCACAAAATCATATTCCACTGAGATGAAGGGAACCTTTTTTTATTAAGTAAAAGTCGATTGGGGTCGTATAGACCCCATGACCCGATTGAGGGCTACCCTAAGTCTGTTTATCATGTGATGCTGAGGCTCTCAACCTTTTTTTATCCTCCTCTCTCTCCCCCTTTCTCTCTCTTTCTCTCTCTCTCCCTCCCCATCCCAGGAGATTGTCACATCTTTGGAACTCTACTGTTTTCTTTGACTTACAGGACAAGCAAAAAAAAAGTCTGGAGTATTCTTTGAAGTGTGAGAAGTAATGTGAGGCTGTTTTATGGAGCACAGAGCAATCAAAAGAATTGACTGTCAGGTTTCATTTGGCTGGATTTTTCTTTTTTCTTTGCTTTTGCACTTTCTCTGTCTCTGTTTGGTTTGGTTCTCTGCCCTTTTCCAGTTTGTTCTCTTGTTCTATTTTCTTCACTAACCTTTGTCCATGATGCTCTCATGCCCTTTCTGTAAAATGCTTTGCTCCCTCCATCAACCCCAAACACATGCACACAAACCTACACTACTTTCACCCTGTGATGTGAGATGATATAGTACAACATTTGAATCAACAATACGGTAATACCTTACTTAAACCCAAGTTTATCCGGTTTAAAAAAAAAAAAAGACAAACCTGGAAAAGGACCAAACAGAAAATCTGAGCGCTAACCCTCATCTCTTCCCTCCGTGAAAACCCCAGCTCTCTCTTTTGAACTTTCTCTAACATGACATACAGTAGACAACAATTAACGTCCCACATCACTATTTCTCTTTTTTTTTTTTGTGGATATTTCTACTCTCTTCTTCCTCTAGTATGAAATTAAATATGGTAAAATTGTAGACTACTATGAAAAATGTATGCAATTTGCTTCAAGTAAGGGCTCTACCGTTCTTTAATTTCTAATCCATGACAATATGAATAATTGATGAATGATTTGAATTAATAATGTGATGAATAATGTTATTAATATTGTTCAATTTCAAGGCATGCACAATGTATTGGTTCCGGATTTGGTTATAGAAAATATAAGAAAAAACATGTGGATAGATATCATCTGATATGGGGGGATCTGATATCTCTATTTTTACATTTTGATTACATTTGCAGTTATCTAACACTCACTTAAAATTAATCTTTGTAATCTTTATCAAATCTTAAAATGAATATCCATGTTTCATACCATACCAATTAATGTTACTTGAAGCATTTAAAGCTTTTGATTTTAGTTTGTAGTGTTTCGTTTTTATGTTCTTCTTGGCCATTTACAAATTATAGTATTGACCATAATTTTAGTATCAATGCATCCCTATTGTTTATGTAACAAATTTAAAGGGATACTCCACTTTTTTTGGAAAAAGGCTCATTTTACCACTCGCCCAGAGTTAAACAGTTGGGTTTTACAGTTTTCAAATGTATTCAGCCAATTTTCGGATATTTAGAAGAATATCAGTAACCAGACAGTTTCTGGTCTCATTGACTTCCATAGTAGGAAATACTATGGAAGTCAATGAGACCAGAAACTGTCTTTTTCCTGATATTCTTCTAAACATCAGAAAATCGGCTGAATGGATTCAAAAACGGTAAAACCCAACTGTTTAACTCTGGGGGAGTTGTAAAATGAGCCTATTTCCAAAAAAAGTGGAGTATCCCTTTAAGGTCTTGTCTAAACTAGTTGCCTCTTGTCTATAGTCATTCTTCAAGTGTTTTCCTATAAATTAAATTTGAAATTCAGACATTAAGTATTGTCCTCTGCTCTTTTTCTTGGTGAGTTTTGACGCTCTGCTTGTGTGTGCAGGTGCGGGTTTACTGCAATGCCAAACTCGCTGAGTGTGTGCCAGTAATAGTTTGGACTCAGCCAGGAGTCCAACTTTCCTCTCTTCTGCCCCCACCCCATCTCTCTCTCTCTACCTCTTCATCTTATTTCCCCATTCTCTGTAAATAAACTCGAAAATTATTACAGCTTATCAAATTATACTTTTGTCTGAAATCCTTTTTTAAAATATATATTTCTATTCCCACTCATCTGTCATTACATTCTCAGTGTTGTTCCTCCCCCAGTGAAGTTCTTCCTCTCTCAGCTTCTCATTTTTGCTTTTACCACTACTACAGTCTTTCTTCCTGTGCTTAGTCTTTTGCTTTATTTTGTTTGAAATTGCTTAAATGTTGTTGAGCAGAGATGGAATTGTAAATCCATCTTTCGGTATCTGTTTTAGGACCACTTTTCAGTATAGCACAACAGAACAAAGAACCAAAAGAAAATGGCACAGTTTGTTGATGTTTGTTCTGTCTCTTTATAATACCACAGCAGTACATTTTAGCTAGTAGAAAGCGGCAATGTCACATTTCTGTTATTAGGGCAGAATCATTTGCAGTCGCAATGTTCCCTGCTGCGATAAACTCTGTAGTTCACAATGCAGGAAGTTGCTGATGCAGATAGTAATTGTTTTGCCAACTTGGCTACTTGCAAGTCTTTTTGCACTTGCCAGCTGATTCACATGAAACAGTCTGTTTTTGTTTTTGCCTTTTCTTCTTCAAATCTAACCCTAGCTGTCTTGTTCTGACCCTGGTTGTTGAACAGTTCAGTCAAAATTTCATGAATGATAATCCAGAGATAATCTTGATAATTCAGAGCTTGCTGACTCGAGGCTAGTCACCAGAAGCATCATGCTCATATTATTTTTCTAACGTTATTGGTGCGATCAGTGCGTTGCGTGATTAGTCTCTGCTGATTTGCATTTTGCCGTTGATGCGCTCACTTGTCATGTATCAAATGACAACTGTTTAGTGTTTTCAACCATATAATTGGTTTATTTTAGGTTCCTGAAATTTTAATACACGTATTGCTAGGGAAAAAAAAAACATTTACAGTTTGTAAAATACACACTGTTAATGGAAGCAGCAATAATAATCCTTTCATAATTTGATGACATGTTTTATTGATATCACACATTGTGAAGATAACTATAAAGTTTGCTCTCTTCTTTTCCAAGTTTAAAGGTGGTAAACCGACAAAATATATTAACTTGCATGTATTTGAGAATCTAAATATCAGATATTTAATTATGTAGTTAATAAAAAAGTCAAATTGAAATAAAACCAATACATCAGTCAAACAGTGCTTTTTTTTTACGTGACAATACATAAAAATGCTCAATGATCACTAACACTTATAGTCCAGGCAAAGTAGCGTTTTACGACAGACTAATTGTAAAAGAATTTTTTTTCAGCATAGATCATTTCTATGAGGTGTCCAGAACAACATACTAAAAGTCCTAAGAAATCCTAGTTGAGGAAATATGTTTAATTCGCATCAATCCGAGATGTGTGCCAGTAAGGCCAGACAACAACCCCAATGGGGCTATTTTTTTCTTTTACTCCTATCAAAATAAAACTTTATACAATGAAAGTATCCATGAAAAGTAACACATTTTGTATTACAAGTTTCTTTGAAAATGAATTGTATTATGCAAATGAGCTATACACTAATCGAATATGCCCAAAATACACCCAAATAGGCTTAATTTTTTCCTTTACTCCTACCACAATAAAACTTTACACAATGAAAGTCTATAAGAAAAGTAAAACATTTTGTATCAGAAGTTTCTTTGAAAATGAATTTTATTATGCAAATGAGCTATTCGAATATGCCCGAATATGCAAATACTAATATGAATATTAGTATTTGCTGTCATAGTCAACCGGGGTGCAAAATTATTTTGAAATCTTTTCTTTTACAGTTTCCATTCTTCCCTTGTGGAATAGGTTATGAAACAAATGCAGAGATTTGTTGTTTCTTCCTGTAACTGGCTTACATGTTCCCTCTGATGTGCAATATATTAATATAGTATCACAGCTCATTTGTGTGTGCAGCTGACATTGATTAGTTTCTCTCTCTGTTCTTTTCTCTCTTTCTTTCTCGCTCTCTCACAATTTCAGGATTGCATCCAGCTTAACCAATACAAGTTAAAGAGTGAGATTGGGAAGGTAAGACCCCCCTACATTATTGTCATATTGCAAATTTTGATAATCACAGCAAACATTCAGATTCAGACACTGATTCTTTCTGACCCTCAGCACAGTCTCATAGTCTGAATCATCATAATCTGTTTTGTTTCCTCTGTCCATTTCTTCTATCTTAAAGGGCTCATATGGTGTTGTCAAGTTGGCATACAACGAGGATGATGACAAATATTATGTAAGTACCTTACGAAAATAACTATTATTTTACATTTGGATGTCCTTATTGCATCTAGAGCAGTGCTGTAGGCTGGTGGGGTGGCCTATGGCCAAAACTGAATTTGGTGAGGCTAGTAGTGCCTTAAACTCAGTCGTGAGGTGTATATTGTGAGTGAGTGAGGATGCAAAATAAAGGTAAGGAACAAAATACTGAGGAAAAGAGATTAGAAAGAGAAAAAGGCATGACAGAGAAGATGTAGAAAATGCAGGATAAATTGAATGGTAATGAAAATTAGAGCAGATGGGGGAGGGTTGTGATATAACAGTGATGGCAAGAATGTGCAGCAGTCCTTAATTTTATTTGGAGCTGTTCATATCATCCCACAAACACAATATGAACACAGTACAAACAAACACAAAGATAGACAGACAAAAAATATTTTCATCTGATACATATAATTTCAGTGGCTGGACAACAAAGAGCACACAAGCAGAACATGGTCTGTTCAAATTATGTTTAATTTTATGTATTTATTTAGCAGTTTTGAACTAAAATATGGAAATTGTCCTGCTGTGTAACAATACTCATCTTGAAATGAAATACAGAAGCATACCTGTAATGAACAAAAGGGAAATAAAATATAAAAAACAAGTCCACTTTAAAAGATTAGTTCACCCAAAAATGAAAATTAAGTCGTTAATGACTCACCCTCATGTCGTTCCAAGCCCGTAAGACCTCCGTTCATCTTCGGAACACAGTTTAAGATATTTTAAATTTAGTCCAAGAGCTTTCTGTCCCTCCATTGAAAATGTAAACACGGTATACTGCCCTTGTCCAGAAAGGAAATAAAGACATCATCAAAACAAAATTTATGAATCCAGCATCACATCATGTATGATGTAGGGTCTTATTTGGTTTTAGGTGTGATCTTTTTGCAGGTCTACTGATCATGCCTGATTATTTTCTTGTCCTCCTCATAGTAATCTGTCATAATTGACTGTGTCTTTGAAAGCGAGATATAGCTCCTGGTTTACAGCTACATTCATTAATTCATGCTGTTTGGATAGCAAGGATGAAAAGAGGACGGAGATCAAATCCCTTCATACAGTAAAGGCCTCTTTAGAGTGTGAGTGCCCCCGTCTCTGGCCTTTACACTCCACTGACCTCAGAAACTTATGAGCAGGGTATTACCGGTCTTACAATTTCCACACATTCTCTTTTTTCTTTACCGGCAGAATGAATCCTGAAATTAAAACTAATCCTTTATTTAACTTGATGTGTTTTTTCCTGCTCCATGCTTTGGTAGTGTGTTTATGTATCAGTTATAAATAAAAAATAATAATAATAATTAAAAAAATAATTATATATGTGGTGGCATTTTCACTTCTGTACCACTGTATTTTTCATAGTATACAATAAATACAGTTCCATCACCATCTGTAAATAAATTTATTTAGGTATTGCTTCCCTAGTGGTAAAAAAAAACTATACGAAAATATATTTAAAATACACTTATTTCATTCTAAGTATACAGTACTAGAAATCCATACATCCAACATATTACTGACATATCGCTTGAGACTTACTGCATAAATATAATGAAACTTTATTTGGAGTACTTCTGTATTGCACAATGCACATTTCTTAATATTACGCCTTAAAATGTGTTTAATATCACTAAGGATAGTATGATCTCTGTATAATATCAGTACCTAAAGTAAACTTGCAATGGTTTTACATTAGCACAATATTACATACTTAAGTATATCTTTAGTTGGACCTCAGCACTATTTCCAGACAACTTCCTGACAGCAAAAAGTGCATTAAGTAAAAAATTTGTTGTTCTAATTTACCAGAGTTTAAGTGTATCAGTTTAGTGTACTAAAAATACAATTACTGGGTATTTTTATTAAAGGAGAACTCCGGGGCAAAATTAACCTTTGGTCTAATAACACATACCTATAGTCGACCGTTCTCTGAGATTTGTTTTTCATGATAATCGAATGTAAAGAGTTTTTTCTCTAAAAACAGTTCTGCTCACTTGGCACGTCGTTCGTGGTTCGACTTATCGAGACTGTTTTCCAAAGATGGCTCCTGCCTGTATACATGAAGTGGACTGTCTTTATAAAATATCTTCTTATTAAACTGTCTGTACACTTACAATGTTCTCAATCCTTAATTTTGAATATATAAAATATCTATTTAGAGACCCTCATTATGTTACTGTCTTAATGTGAGGCTATTTTGAGCCTTAATGGTATTAATTAGCGATTTCTAATGTTTTAATAGACCAAAGGTTAATTTTGCGCCAGAGTTCTCCTTTAAGTTCATAAATATGTAAATGTATTTGTTGTAGTATTTCAATTTATTTTTCAATAGGGTTGCTTGCTCATTTATCTCATCGTTTCCCAGTCATTTATATTCAGACGCATCAGTTCTTTCCATCCCTGCTGCATTCTAACTAGCAATTTTGTTTCATCGTGCTCACATCTGACATGTTCATAAAACATTTATGTTTTCACCTTCATTCTTTTTGCACCGAGTTATTTAAACTCTTCAGCAATACATATGTAGATCTTCAACCTCCAGCTGACCTTGAGACTTTTTCCTGTTGCTAACTCTTATTGATTCACGTCAGAAGTTGTTCATGCTTTCAGGATTAAGATAAATGGGTCCTTTTTATTGATGCTGTATGTGATACAGCATTTATTATTCTGAGACATTGGATTTTATAGCATGAAAAATTAAGGGAAAAGACCACAGAGTTTCAACATATACTTCAGTAAAATGTCTTATTCTTTCCATGACAATATGTGAAAGTGTCTCATGAGAAACTCAAGGATGAATTTTGAAATGGTCAGGCACTCAGTCATTAAGAAACCTCATGTTTTCTGCAGGTGCTAGAAGCCCAGTTGAAAAGTAGACAAGACACAGGTGCACAATTCTTCTGTAATGGACATCTTCCATTATAAAAATGACACAGATGACTCAGTATGTGTTACACAGGAAGTACATGTTTTAAAAGCCCACTTCTGTGCGCCAAAAGCAATTTATTTGATTAACATTTCAATTGCTTACAAAGACATCTGATCCAAGCATCAGCGGTTGAATGTTGCTCAAGCTTTTGTTTTTCTTTCTCTCAAGATAAAAAAGGATATAAACGAGTTGATTTACAAAGGTCTGCATGATTCACTTTGGTCTGCGTGCTTCTTATTCTGTCACTCTCTGTTTGTGACCAAATTTCCACATTCACTTTAGCAATCACTTGCACAGAAACACTGCTGTGAGGGGAATTTTGAGTGTCCCATCAAGGCCAGAAGCAAACGAGATAACTGCAGTTGATTGAACTCTGCGAAAGCTGTTTGATTAGTGTGTAAATGAAAAAAAGACAGTTATGTCAACCACTTTATAAGCTCAGGCAGACCTCTATGCATAATAGTTCGGAAATCTATATAGTCTTTTCAAGATTGTCTATTTATCTCATTGTATCTGTGTCTATGTTTTGCAGGCAATGAAAGTGGTATCTAAGAAGAAGCTGATGAAACAGTATGGTTTTCCTCGTATGTATGGCATTTCAATTAAGTTTGAACTTGAAACCTTATAAATGCAGATGTAAAGCACAGCAGATGTTGTTCTTTGTGGCAGATGTTGAAGTAGCCTGTGGAATCCTAGAAGCATCCTAAGTTCCTTTTATTTTCAATCATTCTTGCAGGCCGGCCTCCTCCCCGAGGTCCTAAAGCAGCCCAGGGGGAGCAGCCCAAGGTGCTTGGTCCTCTGGAGAGAGTTTACCAGGAGATAGCCATCCTGAAAAAACTGGACCACCTCAACATTGTTAAACTGGTTGAGGTAAGGATTACGATTAAATCCATTCATTCATATAATCCACCGTTAATGAACTTGTGCTAATCAATAGTAGTTTAATAGAGACAATAATAACAAGCAAACTGCTATCCATTCTTGACGAACTGAACTGAATTTCTGAGTTCTCAAGATTTTTACATCACAAAACATCAATATATATACAGTATAAATATATTATATTAAACAGTATAATAATATTATACTGTTTTTTACCCTCTTTGAAAAATGTTTTGATAGGCGGGACACCTTCAAGACTTTGAAGTAAGCACTGCTATGATTTGGTAATAGTTTTGCATATTAAAATAATTTTTGTTGAAAAATATCTCATCACATAGTTGTTTCCAAAGACGCTTCTCTCTATAGGCAAGAGCATGGTGAGCTGGTACCCTCTTATGTCACAGGGCACCACAACTTCCAATAGGAAAATTCAACTGCAATAGACCATTTCACAAGATGTAAACAACACTGGTCCAGAAGCACTTCCTGTTTCAGTTTGTAACTGGTTTCTTTATTTCACATGTAAAGAAAACATCTTAAAGATGTTTGTTTAACTTTTTGATTCAGTTTTAAATGTTCTGTTGTTTGTATTTTATCCCAGCTTTTATGTAGTATTAAAAAACTGAAACAGGAAGTGCTTCTGGACCAGTGTTGTTTACATCTTGTGAAATGGTCTATAGCCACTGTTCAAGCTGAAGACGTACACCATATATTGTAAAACACTTTATACCCAAATGTCAAAAAAAAAAAATACTTGAGTCAATGAACAGCATTAAAAAAGCCCCAGCAAATGAAAGAACAGCAAATCTCAACTATTCACACTGTTTAACTGTTCAACGACAATGGCGTTTTGGTCCCTGAAAACGCAGACTTTTGAAAACGGGTTTCAATGTGCATATTTTTGAAAATAGTCTCCATGTAAACAACAAAAATGTGAATCTGTGAAAATGATGATGTCATGCACATGCATATTACTTCTTCAGTCTATAGTGTTTCATCGCCATCTTATGGCCTGGCAGCAGAATACAGCGTTTTTAGTCGTTTTCGCCAATCCGTTTAAATGGGGATCGTTTTGACCAGGGTGTCATCTGATCTGTCCGAGTAAAACTCTCAATTTTAAGCATATCGTTGTCGTGTTAACGTACCCTAAAGTTCATCCATGCTTTCTTAATCTTAAAATTACAAGAAAGGCAAAGACAAAGAATTTTTGCACAACATGGCAATGCAAAATGTCTTGTAATCCTCAGAGGCATCTCTATAGTTTTGTTGCTGAAGTAATCCTGTTTGTGTCTCTCTTGTATTTACTACTAAATGACATGCTTTCTTTCAGACCTTTCCTTTATTAATATTTTCTGAATTAATGAGCTTCTTTTCTTTCTGAGAAAGTTATTTCCTTTTAAACAAACGTCATTTTAAACTTCCTTCCTCAAAGAATGAAAAGAACAACTAAACAAAGAATCCCTTTGAACTATCCTTCCTTCCTTCCTTCCCTCCTTCCTTCCTTCTTTCTAAACTTCCTTCCTTCCAAACTTCCTTCCTACTTCCTGCTCTCTGATCCTCCTTCCTTCCAAACCAACAAATTATTTGATTGATTCATTATTTGATGACCACTTGGAAAAAATGTTGCTTGACACTGGGTCCCTGGCAGTCAGTGTAAACCTCAAGTTATAATAGGAAATACAATAAAAACAGAGAGATGAAATTTGGAAGGAAATGGACTTCTACACAAACTACTCAATAACACGCCCAGACAACCTAATCATGTGCCATTATGTAATTTGCGCTAAAGAGGGCCAAAATAATAGCAACACAATGAAAATCAGCCCATAATGTCCTGAGAATAGGGTGTGGAGATGAGTGCAATCGATCGCAGGAGGGTAGAATGGAGGGATGCTGAAGGAGAAAAGCGCCTTTCCTTCTCTCCCCCTATGGTTCCGTCTGAGTGCTCTTCAATCACAGCAGCACCCACGTACGTCAGCAAAATTAGAAAAGAGGGTTGAGAGAGTACATGTGAGAGAAAATTAAAAAATAGAGCATGAAAATTGTTTAACCCTCTGAGGTCTGAGGTGTTTTCCAGGTCCTGGAGGTGTTCTGATATGCTCTGACATTTGTGCTTATTTCTGTTACTTGTGACATTTTCATGGCTAAAGTCTTATTACACTATTCAGCATAAACTCTGCTACAATAATATGTCAGCAGCATGTATATAAAAGTTTTTATGTTTGAGATTGACATTTATGTGTGGTTTGTGGAAAAAACTAAAACAAAAAAAATCACTGAAATAAGGTCATGAAACTCATTCATATACTCATTCATATATTATTATTCACAACACTTTTGAAAATTGTATCACGTAGCCTAGAGTATTTTCTCCATAGCAATGTGAAAATCATCCAGACTACTCGTTCAGATAAGACAATAAAGTCATTTAAAATTTGCATGACGCATTTTGCGTAAGAAAGCTTTATGCGAAGGGGTGTGATCTCTCATTAATATTAAAAAAGTGCATTAGTAAATCTGATCTAAAGACAGAGACTTGTTGGTGCCAGACGGGCCAGTCTGAGTATTTCATAATTGCTCAGTTACTGGGATTTTCAGGCACAACTATTTTACAAAGAATTGTGTGAAAAGGGAAAAACATCCAGTGCCATGCCTTGTTGATACTAGAGGTCAGAGGAGAATGGGCAGACTGATTCAAGCTGATAGAAGAGCAACTTTGACGGAAATAACCACTCGTTACAACCGAGGTATGCAGCAGAGCTTTTGTGAAGCCACAACACACATACTGTAACCTTGAGGCGGATGGGCTACAACAGCAACAGCATCTCCACTACAAATAGGAAAAAGAGGTTACAATTTGCAAGAGCTCATCAAATTTAGACAGTTGAAGACTGGGAAAATGTTGCCTGGTCTGATGAGTCTCGATTTCTGTTGAGTCATTCAGATGGTAGTGTCAGAATTTGGTGTAAACAATATGAGAACATGGGTCCATCATGCCTTGCTACCACTGTGCAGCCTGGTGGTGGTGGTGTAATGGTCTGGGGGATGTTTTCTTGGCACACTTAGTTCCAATTGGGCATCGTTTAAATGCCACGCCTACCTGAGGATTGTTTCTGAGCATGTCCATCCCTTTATGGTCACCATGTACCCATCCTCTGTTGGCTACTTCCAGCAGGATAATGCACCATGTCACAAAGCTCGAATCATTTCAAATTGGTTTCTTGCAACATCGCAATTCACTGTACTAAAATGGCCCCCACAGCCCCACATTGTAGCATATACAGTATGTGTAGGGCTGCATAAAATAATAACGGATAGATAGCAGGCAGGCATATAAATCATTGAAAAGAAACACTTCAGTAACACTACACTAGACAAAAATATATGAATTATCATGTTACCTCAAATGTTTCCATTCGTTATTATATGAAATGCGACTGGAGTAAAAACGTGAAGCCTAATATTTGGTGTGTTTGTTTTTTTTTTTTTTCAAACGCACAGCGCGACTGACTCAAACCCGTGGAGAGAACGTTTACTGAAGCGATCGAGCCACTCCAAACTATGAAATATTATTGTTACATTATATATGCATTTACATGCATATCTATGTTTGAGCAGATATCCGCAAACTCAGCATTTAATAGTAAACACAGGTCTAAAAATTATAATATTTACCATTTGAAGAAAAAACACCCATACTAACCTACTTTATATCATGCTGTGTTTCATTTTTGAACATAAAACATTCTTTTTTTGTACAATTTAGCATTATGTTTCATGTTTTCACTTCAATCTTATTTCATAACATTTTAGTCTGACACCAGTTTAACTAGTAGCTACTGTAGTGTTTATTTATGACAAAATGTTTCATTTAGATTTCTAATACTATAGTATATAAATTGAGGAGGTTTATTAGTGTGCATTTTGTAACTATGGTAAATGTCACAAACCTGCCTGTTCCTGTGTGTCCTGATTTTCTATTGCAAGTTAAATTGATACCATCACCTGTTGTTTGTGAGTTCCCGTCTCAGTACGGGAAGTCCTGCCTGTTCTGTTCTCGTGTCTCAACGCGCAAGAGTCATGTTGTGCAGGTTCCAAAACCTGTATACCTCATTTCAGAGTGTCTCCCCCCTCAATGTAAATCTCTCCCCCTAAAATGTGTATAAAATTACAATGTAAAGTTCCCTTAGTCAGACTTGATGATGACTGCAGCTACCTACAGCTCATGTTTCTCAATAAAGAATCCTGCTGAAGAGACAACCAAGTCTCCTGGTCTTTGCTTCGGAGTTCCTAAACTTTAGAGGAAAAAAGTTCACAACACTACAATGTAAAGTTTATGCAACCATAAGATGCTTATTATGTGTCTTACCTTAAAAATCATTCTGATAATCAAATTGTGTTCTTCTAATTCTTCAGAGGTAAATCCAAGGTAAACAGCACAGCACAAACAGTCTTCCACACCCGATGAAAAGGAATACTGAAGTTTCTGATTCTTTGTTTAAAGGTGATGAGGGCGTTTACAGCTCTGGGGCCTCATGTATAAAACTTTGCGTAGATTTCATCCTTAAAGTGTGCGTACGCACATAAGGCAGAATTTGCCTACGCACAAAAGTTTTCAGATTTATAAAACCGTTCTTACTCCAGAACCTGCGCAATATTCACTTTATACATCCCAGTCAGCGGAAGAATGCGCGAACATGCGTCTCCTCCCCGAAATAACCATATATGGAGATTACAATGCCTAGTTTTACTATGCATATCCTCATCTGCATATCATTTGCATATGATTATTCATCCACGTGATACCATGTTTAACGGTACAATATGGCTCTGGGTATAAGACGTTAGTAAAATATGAAATGCAGATGTGCCGTCACATTATTACAAACATAATTTTTTTAGTAGCTTATCCTTGCATTGTTTTTGAATATATAAATCTAATAGTGTTAAATACATTTCAGAGAAAGTTTTTCTCAATCTTTTCCCCTGGCCAAATAGTATTTTGTGATTTATATTTTAATGGAAACAGACAGACCTTGTTGTGCATTATTTCCACGAAACGATTTGCTCAGACAATGTGCTATTAGCTATTAAAACATTAAAACACAGCATGCCAGAGGAAACGTGTTCAAAACCATCGCATCCTCAACAAATAAAAAAATAAAACAGTTTAAATCATTCTTTTATTTATTTAAACTGTAATTGAGAACGTGCACTGTATTTTATGATTAGGACTCATAATGAAGATAGTTTGTTAGTGCCGTTAGATAGGCTATGCATCAGTTTCACTAAACGGCCCAACGTGCTCATGGCACAGACATTTAAGAAGGGATGGATGTTTGCTTCAAGTGATGATAGATTTGTGAAATTATATTTGAATTATATGCCTGTAGATGTATAATTTTCTTTAGATTCTTTGTCTAAAAGTGACCAAAAAGACATTTAACTCTCACCATCGGTGTCGCCAAAACACCGCTTATTTACGCCAAGTTTATTTTTTATAAATCCCGATATGTGCGTGGAAAAATGTGTACGCATATTTCTATGCCCATTTTGTGCGTACGCAAAACGTTTATACATCAGGCCCCTGGTCCTTAACGTGGATCATTTGAATTTGAACAGCTCGTGCACGTATGGGCGTGGTCACATTAAATGTGTTCTCAAATGTGTTCAAGAAAAAAAAAACTACTAATGAATGTCACAGAGTTTTCTAGACCCCAAGAACGCTGGAAATCATACAGTGCATGCAGCAAGTGGTGTTTTTAATAAAATTTCTGTTTCAGGTGCTGGATGATCCAGCGGAGGACAACCTTCACATGGGTATGTTCCTTTTTGTTGACATATAATCTAGTGGTAAAATGGCACTTCAGTAAAAGATTCAGCACATTATGGTGTTTTATGGTAGCTAATGTTTTATCAGTTGTCATTTCATTCAGAAATCATTTTAAATTGCAATCATATTTCACCCTATGACTGTTGTACTGTATTTTGGGTCCAATGAATGCTACCTTAGTGAGCATAAGAGACTTCTTTAAAGACTATAAAAAGCATCATACCGAACCGACACTTGTGAATGGCATTGCAATGTATTCCAATCATCAAAATTAACCCCATATTTAAACATAACGCATGCTTAACGCTTTCTTTTCAAGGTATGTTCATTGGTTGTAGTAGTATTAAGCTGTTTGCTCTCATTGCTAGTCATCACATCGCTTCACAGCTCATTGGCTGACATGAGATTCTGCAGAATAAGTGTCTCATACATAAGACTATGACACATTTAGTTGTCTGCTCTGACTCATACTGTAAGAATGAAAATAAGTTGTTTGTGCGGATGGACTGCTACAAACTTCCACTGAGCAATGCTGCGAATAAAAGCACATATCATACTTATATGCAGAAAAAAGTCTGGTCATATAAGGCTATGACATGCTATATGAGGACTGTGAACATTACATTTCATAAAGTGCACTGATGGATTTCTCAATAACAGAATGTCTTTTCACCCTCAATTGCTTTAATGACTCCCTTTCTCCTGTTCTGATCTGTCCGCAGTGTTTGAGCTGATGCAGAAGGGGTGAGTATTCCGTGTGTCCACTTTCACCCCAGTTTTTTTGTCATTGAATATACTTTTTTTCTCTCTACATATTAAAAAAATTGCATTAAATCACCCTGTAGCCCAAGACTGATTGCCCACTGAACCTTCTGAGAAAACCAGGTTGCTGCTGGAAGGTTGCTTGCTGTTAGTGAGGCCAACAGGGGTGCTCACCTTGTGGTCTGTGTGGGTCCTAAAGCCCCACTAAAATGACAGGGATACTATACTGTCAAAGAGCACCATCTTTCAGATGAGACGTTAAACCGAGGTCCTGACTCTATGTGGTCATTAAAAATCCCAGAATGTCTTTTGAAAGAGTAGGGGTGGCATCCTGGCCAAATTTGTCCATCATGGCCTCCTAATCATCCCCATTTACTGATTGGCTTCATCACTGTCTCCTCTCCACCAGTAAATGGCTGCCGTTGCATCATCCAGGTGGATGCTGCACATTGGTGGTGGTTGAGGAGATTCCTCCTAAATCTTTTCTGTATTACTTTTGTTACTTGTAGTGTTTATTTATTCGGCTGCTTTCTCTGCGTTTCTAAATCCATAAAAAGGCTAATTTAAAGGGTAGCAGTCTTCCAGTTTATTATAAGACCTTTTTTCATTTATTTATTTTTTTTTTTCCAAATGTGACATTTTACTTTGGTTGAATATGAGTTTCTGCACAGTGGCCTGACTTTGTTTTGGAGAGAAATGTGTTGTTCAGTATCTCTGGTGTTTGTGGGCTCATGCCTTTTAAAGAGCAGATTAAAACTTACTTTGCATAATTACAGAATGGTCTATTTTCACGAGACCTGGCTGAATAATTTGGCCTTTCTGATCAAACGTGATTCACTGCCTGTGGGTAATGAATGAAATGGCCTTTGAGGACCCTGTTTTGTGCTAAGTGGTTTGTGGGATTGGTTTTTATGTAAATCTCACAGTCACAGTTCATTTAGAAGGATTCCATCCACTCTGTGTTCACAGTCATGCAGTTTCACAGCATCTTCTGTTCTCTCACTGATGTCTAAACTTACACTATGTAACTTTTTTTTGGTTCAAAATTAACAAAATGTAAATATAATGAGTAAATACCTTGTCTGAACATGGTCAGAAACAATGCTCAGGTAGGCTGTAGCATTTAAACGATGCCCAATTGGCACTAAGGGGCCTAAAGTGTGCCAAGAAAACATCACCCCACACCATTACACCACCACCACTAGCCTGCACAGTGGTAACAAGACATGATGAATCCATGTTCTCATTCTGTTTACATCAAAATCTGACTCTACCATCTGATTTCAACAGAAATCGAGACTCATCAGACCAGGCATTTTTCCAGTTTCAGTTTCAGTTCATTTATAAAGCACATTTAAAAACGGCCACTGGCCGACCAAAGTGATAGAGATAGAATAGAGATAGAAACTAATTTAAAGCAGTTCAGAGCAGAATACTCATTCTAAGCTAAAAGCGACAGAAAATGAATAGGTTTTAAGACAAGACTTGAACTCAGACAGAGAGGAAGTTGTTCTGATATAAAGTGGGAGCTTTTTCCAGAGTGTGGGACCCGCCACTTCAAAGGCACAATCTCCCCTTGATTTTAGCCAGGTTTTAGGTATCTGAAGAAGTTGTTTATTTTCAGATCCAACACTCTAAAAAATGCTGGGTTGTTTTAACCCAACTTTGGGTCAAATATGGACTAACCCAGCCGTTGGGTTAAATTTTTACATTACATTTTTAACCCAACATTTTGGGTTTGTCCATATTTGACCCAAAATTGGGTTAAAACAACCCAGCATTTTTTAGAGTGAAGACTTCTTGTGGGGGAGTGGTAGTGGAGTAAGTCAGATTGATAAGCAGGTGCTAAATCATTCAAAGATTTATACACCAGACCAGTATCAAAATGTTATATTCAATTTTAAAATGTATCGGTAGCCAGTGAAGGGATCTTAGCAGCAGGTGGGTGACATGGTCAAATTTCCTTTTTCCCATAAGGAATCTCGCCGCATCATTTTGAACAATCTGTAGGCGGGCCGTTTGGGACTTTGATGCACCGAAAAACAGAAGGTTACAATAGTCTAGGTGCGAGTTAATTAAAGCATGGATCATTTAGGGAGATATGATTTTATTTTTGCTATAGAACGAAGATAAAAAAACTAGTCTGACGACAGCACTAATTTGTTTATCGAATTTAAGGGAGCTATCTAAAATAACACCTAAGTTCTGTACCTGGGGAGCAATAGATTGATCTAAAGATCCCAGGTCAAAATCATAAGATTTTCAGTCTTCAACTGTCTAATTTTGGTGAGCTTTTGCAAATTGTAGCCCTTTTTTTTTTCCCCTATGTGTAGAGGAGATGAGTGGTACCCAGTGGATATATGTCTATAATGAAATGTATATCAGAAATAAAATGTAAATACATGTATATTGGTACTAATTGACAAATAAATACAGTTAATTGTTTATTTAATTAAAAAAGGTGAATTAATAAATGGGTGAATCATTTATTCATTAAAAAGCAGAATTGCTTTTCTTTTTCCACATTCTTTTTCTTTATAATTAAATTGTTTTAATTTATTATTTCCAGCTTTTAATTTTTGCAAAGAAGAACACTGTAATGAACATTGATATTGAAAATGGAATTATTACTAAATATTTTATACAAGGAATTCTGCCGCATATAAAAATAGATTGCTAAAAATAAAATCTTTGCTTGCAGTTACTGTATTTTATTTGTACCTTATCAGTTAACTTACAATAAAGTGTCTCCATTGGTCACCAGCCCTGTAATGGAGGTTCCCAGCGACAGTCCCTTCAGTGAAGACCAGGCCCGCCACTACTTCAGAGACATTGTTCTGGGCATCGAGTACTGTGAGTCATTTCCTTCATTTTTAAAAGCCTTTTTCAAATTGCTGGGTCGACCTCACTGTCTTCCATCCTCAGTTTCTAAGGAGACCACCTTGTATATGGTTTTAGTAATAGAGCATCTGAAGTTAAATAAATCCCAGGATAGAAGAGCGAAGCAAACTCCTACAGATGAGCGGCTGACATTAATCATTACTCATGTAAAAATAAAGACCCAAGAGAGCTCTGTCCCAAGGAACATCTCTATGTTTGTTGTTCTAACTCATCATGGCATCCTGTTAGGCTAATGAAGTGAGCGAATGTGGCAGTGCACTCGTGTATGTGTGTGGGGGGAAGGTCATCGTTGCCTGATTAAAACAAGTCTCTGCTATTTCTTAAGGCTGTTCTGATCTGTCATTTGTCAAAAGAAGAACAGTATGTACAACAGTATATGTTGATTCGAGTGAGCTTAAATTATAATTTGAGCCTTTAAATAAGATGGCAGCACAAAAAAGGAGAATGAGCTGAGTAGATTGCCAAGCGTCTGTTCTGCTCGAGTGGAAACTCGGCTTTCATCAATTCATTTGAATCCTACTAAACAGGCAACACTCGCTGTGGCAACCGTCTGGATGGCAACAGACCATTTACATGATTCGCTACAAATCAGTCTGTGTTCACAATTAACTCTTTTGTGTGTCTTTAATTTGTGGACTGCAATCAGTATGTGTCCATATTTTGTTTATTTCATTAGCACTATGCTGTACATTAGCCATGTCAATATAATGAATTAATAGTTATCTACAAAAACTGTGTGTGGGGGTTTTATGATATGTAAACTGCTTGAGAGACAGTTTACATAAGCTGTGGCATACTCCATGTGTTACATTCCCCTTGCTTTGCTGACTTTGATCAAATAATTATATGCAATAATCTGCTAATGCTTTGAACAGACCTCTTTGTTCCTTAATGGATTTTCTTTTTTCATTACCATGCTTGTCATCTGACGACATCTTAGACATGGCTCTTGTTGTCGCGTATAACCAGTAATGACACATGACTGAAAGATGATAATTGATGGGCAGGTTATCTTTGATTGACCACTTGAGACAAGGAGGCGACTCTTAACCAATCAAATTCAGCTACTGTGTGCACCGGGTGACCTTCTTGATCCTTTCTGCTGTTCTTTAGTTAAGCTGAGACCTCCTGCGGTCAGACACACTTGATGTTGTACCTCCTCTTTACTTGCTTGGCTCAACCTAGTAGCTTTATTAAACTTGTTTCGAATTATAAAAACTGACATTTTGGTCAGTTCTGAAATTCTGTAACTTGTACATTATGGATTAGTATTACATGGTATGTAAATGTTAAATTTTTTTCTAATCACAATTAGGCATGGATGGATTAGTCTAGAATTTTAAATACGTTTTGATGTTGCATTGAGAAGATTGATCCTCACACAATATTATAATAATAATATGTAAAGTGTTAAATGTAGTATAATATGTTTTATGATAATTTGCAGGACTATAGAATGTAAAAAAATAAATAAATAATATGACTTAAATATAATAAAATAATGAATAAAATAATTTGATCCTCATAACTTTACATTTAAATTGTCGGTTTATAGTTAGTTACTATATTATATAGTACTATATAGTTACTGTATTTATACTATAGTTACTATATTTATTTCAAAATTAAGTTTTGAAGACCAATGAGTTATATTTGTTTTGTGGAGTCTAATAGAATTCTGAAATTTGAAGCTAATCGTCAATAAATTGAACTTTTGGAATGACTCCTTTTTCTTGTTCTTCTTTTAGATGATATACTCGAATTATCACATTCCTTCTCTGATATTTTTTCTTTTTTTGCTCAGTGCACTTTCAGAAGATCGTTCACAGGGATATCAAACCATCTAATTTATTACTTGGAGATGACGGCCATGTGAAAATAGCCGATTTTGGGGTCAGTAACCAGTTTGAGGGTAACGATGCCTGTCTCTCCAGCACTGCTGGTACTCCTGCATTCATGGCCCCAGAGACACTGTCAGACAACCGCCAGAGCTTTAGTGGAAAGGTAATGCGTTTCTGTAGTGGTTTTGCTGCTATGTGTTGTGATAGGCCAATCTGACTGATTTTTTTTTAACCATATCATTGAAAAATTATGCTCAAATTTTTTTAGTTTTTTTTTTATTTTAATATACAGTATTTCGCATCATTACTACTGCCCTCACTATCACATGATATTTTAGAAGTCATTTTAATATGCTGATTTAATGCTTAAGAAACATTTTTTATAAGTATCCACATTGAAAACAGTATGCCTCTTAATATTTTTGTGGAAACCATTTTTTTTTAGAATGTTTTGATGAATAGAAAGTTCAGAAGAACAGAAATTATTTAAAATAGATTTTTTTGTAACTTTAGAAATGAAGAGTTCAGATGCAAAAGCCTCTAAATGCCATTTGAAATTTTCTTCTTTAATGATGATTTTTATCAAACTTATATATTTAAGTTCAGTAATTTCACTTAAATAACAATTAATAGGTAATTATCATTGCAATTTAAGTGAAATTACTGAACTTAAATATACAAGCTTGATAAAAATCATCATTAAAGAAGAAAATTTCAAATGGCATTTAGAGGCTTTTGCATCTGAACTCTTCAAATGTCTTTACTGTCACTTTTGATAAATTTGTTGCATCTTTGAGCAATAAAATGACTATTATTTTATTTTAAAAAAATCAAACTGACCCTAATTAAGGACACATTAGTCCATTCTTTAAGATATTTTGTTTTGCATTCCTTGGAAGAAAGTCATAGAGCTTTGGCACAATATGATAGTAAATAGATGACAACAGAATTTAAATTTTGAATGAACTCTCCCTTCAAGAAATGACATTTATCTCAATAGCTCCTGCATCAATAAAACAGAAGTTGTGTCTTTTTCAGGCTCTGGATGTGTGGGCTATGGGAGTGACTCTCTACTGTTTCGTGTATGGGAAGGTATGAGTTGGCTCATATACTGATATGATCAGAATGATAGCAGTTATTCTTCACTGTGGAATTATCTATCAGGAATAAAGATCAATGCACAGGCCAGTGTGCTACAGTGACATTTGTGTGATTGATCATTTTGATCACTCATCTGTCTAACCTCCTCCCCCTCTCCTCTATTTTTCTTCCCTGTCCTCCAGTGCCCATTTATTGATGAGTACATTCTGGCACTTCACAATAAGATCAAGTGTAAGCCGGTGGAGTTCCCCGAGACGTAAGTCACCCCTCGCTGTGTGTGACGCATCTGTCGTCCCACAGAAACAGAAACAGAGAGAGGAAATGTCAGAGATGTTTGAGTGTATGACGATGTGAGATGAATGCTATTTTGAGGCGTGTTGGTTTATGTAAGATATTTGTGTATGAGACTTGTGAAAGTCTATGATATGTTGATGAAGTCTGTCATCTGTGTGTGGAAGGCCAGAGGCCGTCCGGATGCATGTCATCTGGTGCATGTGTTTGGACTAATCGTCAGCAAATAAAAGCGCGTCTCTCTCACACACACACACACACACGGTCCCTGATGTCATGCTGCAGTGTTCTCACTGGCTAAACTAACTACAAAATAACACAATGTCATCACTGTGAATCAAAAAGGGGCTTCACTCACTTTTTGGTTTTATTTTTGTATGCGTAACCCATTTTTTAAAAATGTATTTTACATTTTTATGCTATGCTTACAACAAGCCAAAAATTAAGGTAATTAGGAAAAATAATTTGAGAAATTTGCTGAAAAAAGCAGTAAAGGTGAAAGGACATTTATTTTTTTTGGCTGAGTACATGTTGTTGTTGTTTTCATGTTTGCAGAGCTTCTTTTGTGTTTAGTACAGTTGAGCTCTTTAGCCCTTATGATTGTTACAGAGGCAGTGTGACAGTCAGTGGGGGTTTGAAGCAGTGTTTCTTTTGTCTGCAGTGTGTCTCTCCTCTTGTAAAAGCATACTGTCATTGTCTGGTTTATTGGGTTTGTGTTTTCAGCTGTTTTCTCTGTGTTTCTGTAATATCTCAGGCCAGCTATCAGCGAAGGGCTAAAGGACCTGGTCACACGAATGCTGGACAAAAACCCAGATACCAGGATCACTGTTCCTGAGATCAAAGTAAGTATGATGGAAAGGTGCACTTCTTAGATTGAAAGTGTCTTCACCACTCTGTATTGTAAGATATTGAGTTACTATTCACTGAGGAGTGCATCTATTTACACGGAAATGAATGTGCATATTTGACCTTTTCGGCTGGACTAGTATTATTAATCAATACCATTCTTCAGAAATCATCTCAATTTTCCTTCCTGAATATCGGCGAGAGAGTGCGACCTCACTTAATATTAAAATTATAGTCAGTTTCTCAAAAAAAAAATTATTATTAGTCTTCACTCAATATAGCTCCAGTGTTTCTATCAAAGACCATTCCTGAGCCACATACAGGGATACTGTAAATATGACACAATATCTCTGAGAGCTTCTGCACCATCTAGCAGACTTGCTGTTTGGACAGAAACACATCAGCTAATCCCTATGGAGAAGGATTTTGGTTCAGTTCTGGAAACTTCCATCTGTTGTCTCAGTGTTTGACAGTGAGTGTGAATAATTAGCACACACACATACACTCTGCCATTAGAGACTACTGCCTGCATGTCATTACCCAGAAAATGTTCCATCAAAGCAGCGATCCCCAGAGCACACTCGGCCTACATTCACTCAACAGCTCTACTCTCAAACCCTTCGGACCAACTTTGTTATTAGGAAAAATATTTTATTTCTTTAATCATTTTCTGATTGGATGAATGGTAAGATGGATGAAATGATTGATGGATGAACAGATAAATGAAATGGAGGATAGAAGATTGGATGGATGGATGAATGGAACTATAGATGATGGCTTGATGGATGAAACACTATATAGAGGGACAGATGGATTGATGGATATATGACAGCTGGATGGATGAACAAATGGTTGGATGTATGGACTAATCTACAGACATGGATGGATACATGGATGGATGGATGGACAGAACGATGGATTGATGAATAGATGGATATATAATGGCTGGATGGATGGACGAATGGATGGATGTATGGACTGATGTACAGACATGGATGGACAGAGTAATGGATTGATGAATAGATGTATATACGACAGCTGGATGGATGGACGAATGGATGGATGTATGGACTGATCTACAGACTATCTACATATTAGATGGATAGATGGATGGATGGACAGACAGGCAGGTGGATGAATTGATGGATAGAAGATGGCTAAATGGATGAAACTGGATGGATGGATGGATGTATAGAAGAAAATGTATGGTCTGATCTATGGACAATTGGATGGATATACAGATGCTGGATGGATGAATGGAAGGACAGATGGATAAATGCATTGATGGCTCTACAGACATATAATTGGTAGGGTAGATCAATGGATGAACAGAGGGAAGGATAGAGATTGCCGTAATGGATGCATGGATGGATGGACGGAAGTAAGGAAGGAAAGATGATGAATGCAGGGGATAGATGGATGAATATATGAAATGATAGGCCAGATGGATGGATGGAATGACGTGTACACAGCATGTTATAAGTGTGTGTCTGTGTGTGTGTATTTTCAGGTGGACCCCTGGGTGACTCAGGATGGTATAGACCCATTGCCTTTAGAAGAGGAGCACTGTACTGCGGTAGAAGTCACTGAAGAGGAGGTACAGAACTCAGTGAAGTTTGTCCCCAGTCTATCTGCTGTGGTAAGTGAAACAGAGAAAGAACAAAAGTTTCTATGTGTAAGGGTTCATGATTTGCTGAACTGTAGTTATATGAACACACCTACCAAACAACTGAAACCTCATTACATGTCAAACTGACCCTGCTTCTGAACTGTCTGCTTTTCCTTGATTACTTTCCTGGAATTAGTCCTTGCCATCATCATCATCATCATCATTTCAGTAAATTCAAAGTGTATTTTACACAAAGTGTATAAGTTAAGTCTAGTTATCCCCTCTTTCTTGTAATGCTGTAGATACTGGTGAAAGCCATGTTAAGGAAGCGTTCCTTTGGGAATCCATTTGAGTGTCCGAGCAGGAGAGAAGAGAGGTCCATGTCTGCTCCTAGCAGTCTTCTCATGTAAGTGTTTCAACCGATGACCAACTGGATACCTGAGTAATATAGCTGCACAATAACAAATGACTCTCCTTTTGCTCACAAACCGTTTTGTATGAGGTTGAAGTCTTTTCAGCATTGCATTTTTCACTCTCATATTCAAGGTCACAGCATGATATTTCAGACGTCATGTCTATCTATTTGAACAGGAAGGTGTGCTAATAGTCACCCATTACTTCTCCTGCCGCCAACATACGTTTCCATAGTAGCATGATTCAGACGTTTTTTCTTTTGCAGTAGCATTCAAAGCTCTGGGACTTGTTTTCATTATTTCTGTCTGGAACCTTCTTCTCTGCATTGCACTGAGACTGCTGACACCCTCGTTAATATTTTTTTTTACATATTTTATATATATATATATAAAATCCTGGCCATAAATTAGGGCAGAATCTTGGTCTTAGCTCTAGTTTATGATAAACATTTTGTAAGCTTTATATTCTAACGACTAAACGCATCACACCTTGATATATTCAGGGACGCTCTAAAGAGGGTGGCGCTCTAATGATGATTTACAGACTTTAGTGTACATGACAAATGCATAGAATGGGTTTTTAGAATTGCCTTAAATGGTTAGTTCACCCAAAAATGGTGAAAATTCTGTCATTAATTACTCACCCTCATGCCTTTCCAAATCCATAAGACCTTTGTTCATCTTCGGAACACAAATTAAGATCTTTTTGATGAAATCCGACACCTTTCTGTCCCTTCATTGGGAGCAACGCAACTTATTCAAGGTCCAGAACGATAGGAAAGATCATTATGTCATCATTAAAGTAATCCATGTGATTCCAGTGGTATAACCTCAATTTTATGAAGCAATGCGGATGCTTTGTTTGCACAAAAAAAGTGTGCAATATAGTTCTAAATGTATATTTCAATTTTTTATATTCAGCATCTATATATACATTCAGTATGGTGTATATACAGTATATATAAGTTCTTAAAAGGTCACAACAATAATTCAGTTTCTTTTTATTCCTCTGGATGTTTGCACCATCCATCCTTTGACAGTAATTCTCAGAGGCCTTTTGCTGGTAATGTATCTGCCCACTAGCCTGACAGTAAGTGTCTCCATGAAGTCATCTCTGTCCCCACTCTGCTGCATTTGCCACATTGGTTTGTTCAAGGACAGCAGCATGTTCTCTCACTCTTCCTCTCTGTGTGCTGTCTGTTAGATGCCTGTCAGAATCAGCAGAGGGTTGCTCCCTGTCTTCTGAATGCTCTGGATCAATACAAACAATCTGGTTATCTCTGTATGCATCCCTGATAGACCAAAGTCAGCCTCGCAAACATTTTAATGCAGTACTGAATGCTCTCAGTTATAGGTTGTGTTTTTTTTCAGGCGTGCCATATGCAGTTATTGTTCGTACAATCAAAACTGAAAGGTCATTTGATTATCTGTAAACAAATTACAGGCTTATTTGGTGTGAATGCTCTCTGTTGACAAGGATCTGATTGGGAAATGAGGTGGATCAATACAGTGACTCAGCAGTCCGGTGACTTCATTTGCAAGAGGCGGTTAATTGTACTTTTATTTACCTCTATCATTTTTTTATTAGCCAATTGTCAGTTAGTTGTTGCCTTTTAATAAATGTGTTTCTGAATAAATGGATTAAAAAACAGCAGCGCCCCCGGTTGGTAGAAAGCTATCATCGTAATTTTGAAAATCCCTCCGTCCCTTTAAATCTCTCCTGTCAGGGGTGACCATTTGCATGTCATCCATAATTCAGTGTCAGTTTGAATACACTACCTCCTGCACCGTTAATAACCTTTTTCATCTAAACACACACTGTACTGAACACACACTCTCCCTTCCTTTTCTCAAGCATCCATGCATACTCACTCGACTGCAATTGTTACTCTGTGATGGCTGAAAGTCATTTCTTGTGATACTCATGATGATTGCATTGTTTATGAGGGGATTATTTTCTATATCTCTCCTAAATATTCATTTTGTCAGAACATTGATTAAAAACCTGCATCAGAATAATTATAGGCTTATTGGTATCAGCCTATTGTTATCTGTTTGTGCTGGATAGTGCCGCTCCTCTACTCCACAGCTTTATATTAAACAAAATAATTTCTAATTGGTTGTCATTTTGTTGCACCATACCACGTTTTTCTTTCTGTGTAAAAGCTGTCGCTTCAGGCCTGGTTAGGACTCGCTATACACAATTATTGGTTCACATCACTGAACCAACCCTGTCTGGGAGCATGGGGAAACAAATTGCCGTATTACTACACATTTGTTGGATGTGATGAAAATGTGGCTGCCGCTGCACATTATCAGCCTACATATCGTCTCGGTTACGTATGGTAACCCTCGTTCCCTGAGGGGGGAACGGAGACGTGAATTAAAACGAGCCAATGAATATTGGCATGCAGGAGTTGCATTCCGCGCCCCGCCTGCCAGAGTGCGGGTATTAGGGATGTGCATCTCCATAGCTGAGACCGATGCGATACGCATCTCGATGCATAGCCTACGATACATTAAAGATACATAAGCAGCTACCAATGCAATGCAATACGATTCACTACTATTACGATGTGTTGTGATTCCATTTCAATTTGAAAATCTTTCACAAACAGGTCTTTCATAACTGTATTCAAATGTAAAAAAAAAAAAAGAAAAACTATTACTGGCAGTCACAGGCTGCTGTAAACCAAAGTAACTCAAATGTCCTACTTTAAAGTTTAAAGGTAGGTGACTCTCAGGACACGCCTCGCACTCCGTAGTGTAGATACGTTATATTCATGTAGCAGCTGCAGCAGTCGTGATGAGAGAACGCGATTGTCCAGCAGTTCAGAAAGGAAAAATTGATCTAGTCGACCTGGACGTGCAAATGAGGCAAAATCGTGTCCATCGCGCCACGCTAAATGCGTCTCATGCCGCAGGACTTCCAGACCAACGGGCAACTGGCAATAGGTCATGTCCGGAGAGGTAAACGGATCTATCTGAGCGGCTCCGAAGATTTCCCATATCAGCTGAACCACCTGGGGATGGAGTCGCCATTCTCCCGGAAGGGGCGGCTGCCGTGAGAGCTCGTCTGCTGCACGGTTGACCACACCAGGGATGTGAATGGCCCAAAGCGACCTCAGATGCTTCTGACTCCATAGGAAGAGATGGCGGGCGAGTCGCGACATACAATGGGAGCGTAGACCACGTTGATGATTGATGTACTCCACGGTTGCAGTGCTGTCCGTACGTACCAGTACGTGCCTGTGCAAAAACAGCCCCTTGAGGTGGCGCAAGGCTAAGTGTACTGCTTGCAACTCTAGGTAATTAATGTGCCGATGTAGTTGAGACCCCGTCCACAGACCTGAGACTGCATCCCCATTGTGCTTGGCCCCCCATCCATTGGCAGAGGCATCCATGAAAACCAGAGCATGCCTGGACACCTGGACTAAGGGCACTCCGGCCCGTAGAAAGGCAGGGTCCGACCAAGGACTGAAGGTTTGGCAACATTGCGGGGTTATCTCGGGACTCGATTGTGAAGCCGGCGCTCAAGCGGTCTCATATGCAGCAGGCCGAGCGGCGTTATTGCGGCTGTGGCTGCCAAATGCCCCAGGAGCCCCTCTGGAACTGTTTCAGTGGGACTGCTGACCTGCCTTGAAAAGACCTGAGGCTGTTGAGCTCTGCCTGGATACACTCCTCTGTGAGGCGCACAGTCTGACTGACTGAGTTCAACTCCATACCGAGATAAGATCCTCTGCGTGGGGCAGAATTTGCTCGTCCCAGTTGACCTGAAGCCCCAAATGGCTGAGGATCTGAAGCACCAAGTCCCTGTGATCGCACAACAGATCTTGCGAGTGAGATATTATCAGCCAGTCGTCAAGATAGTTGAGAATGCAAACGCCATATTCTCTCATGAGAACAATGGCTGCATCCGTGACTTTCGTGAACATGCATTTCAAACAATCAAATCTTCTGATAGTTATCTTGTTATATTATTGTGACCTTATAGACTCAAGAATACATCCATTCCAGACACGGAAGACGCTCTTATTTGAATGTACAACATACTTATTTTACCAACATAACAAACATGTTAGAAGTAGCCTACAAACATGATGAAATTAAAGTTTTTGCAAATGTCATTTCTTCTTTTTCTCCCAAAGACCAAACCCTTTCTCTGTGTCCGACTTAACTTTGTTTGATGTCGTTTATGCTAACGCCTGTTTCACACAAACTCCGTTTGCTGTGTGTATATGGTGTGTGTTTTTCCCGCACCCATGTTAATAGGTTAGAGCCTATGGTTAGTGCGCTCACACCGCACGCGGATGTAATAATAATAATGCAATTAAATGAGATGATAATGTTAAATAACATTTCATCTCGTTTTGGTCAACGAAAATTAAGAGAAATTTTTAAATATTTTTTATTTTTATTCGTCAATAATATTGCATTATACATTTAATAATAGTCATCGTCACATAACCAGCATTTACTCGTTTTCTCGTTTTCATCACGTGATAAAGGTTCGTTGACGACGATATTTAGTCATAATTTTTGTTGACGAAAGCAACACTAGTGACAACAGCTCTTTGAGAAAAAAAAAAAAAAGGCAGATCGCATGAAGCAGCAGCTGGTACCCGGGAGATCGAGAAGATCGCTCAAGCGCCTTCTCACCATATAATAGTTTCTTGTTGAATCCAGCATTGAATTTGTGGAGATTCTGGAAACTGTCTTCCGTAAATGCGCAGCACCGAGAGCTAAATTGCGATTGTAATTTTCAGGAACATAATCAAACATACATTTTAGCTATAGTTGGCGAACTACAGCATCTGTGGAAAGCCCAAACACATAAGACCTGACAGCTAGCTGAAAAAATAACACACTTTCGACGGCATAATATCTCCACTATAACTCTCCTCTTCGACAAAGCCTCAGAAATATGGCCATGCCCCCTTGTTTGCAAATTTCGGAGGGAGGGTTGATGTAAATTTATGGGTTAGTTGCGTATAAAACCCGGGAAGTATCTCGGGAAGTATTCGAGTCGTTTTTGTAGGCATTAAACTTCCTGATTTTTAAAAGACGAAATCGCTGCTTATGTTGAACTTTCAGTGCAGCAACTTTGCAGATACTGTTCATGCACCAACAGCAACATTACACACTATTTAAAATGAAAATAGTGAAATCGCAATCAACCACCCCTTTAAATGTAGTCTAATGTTGACTGTTAATTGGCATTCTGACCAGCACAAACTCACTATGGTCTCTATAATGACCTGGTTCCTGTTGCTTTTTCTTCAAATGAAACTGCTGATGCTCTCCTTCCTTTCCTCCACTCTCTCTCTCTCTCTCTCTGCTGCAGGGACTCTTGGCCATTCCGGCCCTCTTTTAAACTCCAGCCCTCGTTAAGGTAACTCATTGTGACAGGTGGTCATTGTCATTTGTCACTCAAGCCCTGTCAGATTCCCTGTCCTTCTCCATGTATTCCCATGGGTCAGTGAAAGTCATATCAACCTCCACCTTGTCCTTCTGTGGCATTTCTTTAACTTTATGGCAGTGAACGTATTTGGTAACACTGTCAAAAAATTCCAATCCTGTGAAACATGTCATGTTGTGGTCTTTCATTCAGTCCCACCATATACATTCTGAGACCTCTGTGTGCAGTTGTGTCTGTTGCAGAGAACTTTCCCATGTTCATCTGTGTTTCCTCCAAGATTGTTTGTTAGTGTGCTAGTTTTCTATTTTTTTATTGTTTAATACTGGATAGTTTCAGCTACAGGTGTTCTACAGATGCATCACACCTGTTTAATGCATGTTGCAGATTTTTGTTGTTTTATGTTATAAAGCGACAGAAATGTGCTTTACAAACATATAGTGATAATGTAGTAATGTTCTTAAATGTGCAATAAATTTGGCAACAGCTGGCTGAACTCACCAGTCCTGTTCTGATTAAACAAATCTTTTAAAATTAATGTCAAAGCTGAAGTCTTCAGTGTCACTTGATCCTTTAGTAATCATTCTAATATACTGATTTGGTCCTTGTAACATTTCTCATAATCATTATCAATGTTGAAAACGGTTGTGCTGCTTTAATATTTTGAACAGTAGTATATAATGTATAACCCACCGAGCTACTACAACAACACTTTTTAGCTAAAAACCGTTTTGAAGTTTTGGGAATTTTTGTCATAAAACATTTATTTTTACTTGACAACAACTAAAAAGTTATTCTCAAGCACAATGTCTTTGAAAAAAAAAAAAAACTATACTTGTTACTTGGAAAGACAAAAATCACAAAGTATCCATACATGTTCTTTTAATTTCTTCTGTTTTTTTTTTTGTACAACCGTTCTCAGTTAGCCTGGGAAAACCCAGACAACTTCCGGCAAATTTAGATTTGCTCTGAAAGTTAGTCTGGCAAAGAGCTCATTCAAGCTCATTTCCAGTCCGCAGAAATCGCGGCACCAATCAGAAACGATGGGGCGGGCTTTACCAGATGACGACAGCTCTGGGATTTTGAAGCAGATTTTGTAGCCTACATTACAAAGATGGATGCCGCCGTCGAACATCACTCGCTCGAATCCACTATCGCGTCTGTTTTTAAGCAATTTGAACGTTTCGTTTTTGTTAAAAACCAAACAAAGAACAACACTCGCATATGTTTCTCCACCGCCCACCACTCTGCATACGTCATCTCCTTCATCGCTCTGATTGGTTTTAGGTCTACCCGCAACGTCCGCTGGTGACGCCCCTCTGGAAATGATTTGTCTATGATGCTTTGCTAGACCATATCTCAGTTACAACTGAGAATGGTCTGGTTATAACAAGGCTGTAGTTCTCAGTGCATTTTTTTATTGATTTTGAATATTGTGGTATCATTGATTGTGTTTGCCCAAAATGAAATGCAAATGTAGGTCGATTGATTTGCAGACTCTCTATATCAATTTTGGGGGGGCGGGTTACATGGATGATTCTTGGCCTGAATAATCTGTATAGTAGACTAGACCTTATAGAATACAGTCAAAATCTGCCTTCTCGAAATCAACTACTGGATCAAAGCATGGATCATTTAGAAAGATAATGATTAATTTCTCACTCTGTTTTTCTTTCTCTCTCAGAAAGGGGAGCAGTGGAGAGGCGGGTAGAGAAGTCGAGCTCGAGGACTTGCATGAGGATGAACCACCCACCTTTTGAGTGTCTCCATAGATTCTGAAGCGTTCCTCATTGTCTGCGCTTCTTTATTCAGACACTTCCAACCCTTCGAGCAGATGACCATCATGACCCAAACCGCTACACTACACTCTATTTTCACCAACTTGAGGCTTATCTTGACATTGAACTGGATTCTGCTATTGCTTGTCATCATTCAAGCTTTTTACTTTTTTTCAGTCTTGCACAAGAATCACTTTCCTTGCTTTTTTTTGTTTTTTTTAAGACCATCGTAGTAATGGTTCTCAGAAAACCTGGCCTTGGTAATCCGGCGAAAATCCATACTTTTTCCTTCATGCAGTTTGGATCTTTTAATCTTTGTTCTCTTATCGTGACTAAACAAGAAGATTTTGGATGGAATCTTGGCTAGGTTTGTTTGAAAACCAGACCATGTCATTACCTTTCTTAAGCAAGACTCCAACATTTACAAAAGATGCTAATATTAACTTGGTATGGCACCTCATAAAGCTAAAAAACAGTGATGGCGTTGAGGCAGTGTGCTGCCATCATAACGTTTGTACATGTGTAAAATAATAGCTATGGTGTCTTGCCTTTTTGTATAATGTTAATGTGCAATTCTTAACCCTATCCGCATCATTGCATGCCTGAAATATGGCCTTTTCCATATTATGGTGTTTCCATATCTCTGTTGCTTTCCATTTCTTTCATACTATAAAAATTTTCTCATTTCATTCAGATACAATGTATAAACAGACACACACACAGTGTTGTAGTGTGAATCAAAGGGGCTTATGTAACTACTATATACTTGATGTATAAATGACAGCACATTCAGTCAGTTCCAACAAACAGGGCTTTCTCACGAAATATACTGCTTTTGGTATAAGCATTAACTAGAACAGGGCTTTTTATCCATGTTTGTGAACGTCAGAAATCCCACATTTGGAGCGCACCGGATGCAGGGCTCCCATGTCGCAGTGCTTTGTCTCTACATGAACAGAAATGTGTCATTGTTTACTGAGTCTTCACATTCCAAAAGGCTTTATCAGTCAACGGGTGCTCGAACGCACAAACAAATATGCTACCAAGGCAAGCAAGTGTGTACTGATGCGGAAGGAGAAGGAGTCACTTTCACTCAAAACAGACAAGTCAATTGAGGGAAGGATCTGAATATGGTGTTTAGCTGTGGAGCGAAAGTGAACCGCTATTCAGTGTCATCACGGTCCCTCTTGGCCTGTATTAACTCAGTCCAAAACAATACTCCCTTGTTTACATCGGATCGTCTGCCAGGCGAACCCGTCAGCCCCTGTTATTGAAACGTTTTTTGAATCTGAGTGGACAGCTAATACGCATTGGCGATCAAGATATTTAATTATGAGCACAGATCACTCATATTAATTATATTTTTATTGTGAAATCCCCACTGAGTGTGTTTGTTTTAAAAGGACAGTTCACACAAAAATGTAATACTGTTATTATTTACCAAAAGGTCTGTTTATACCAATACAAATGTTCGGCACAAAATTCTGTCCAATATTTGCATGCAATTTTTCTGTTCAGACAAAAAACTGAAAATGGCAAATTCATGCTTTTAAATTTGCTTTACGCTATTTATGCTACTCTATATTGACTAGTTTTCCGTAGCCAGACCATCAGACTGACGGAAGACTGGCAGAAAGTTTTGAGTCCAAAGCAGTTGTCATTGGCCAAGGACCACCCAAGAGGACGTCTGACTGACATGTAAATCAACCAATTACAGTTCACTTGGTTCAACGTCATGTTTAGGGGCGTGAAAAAGTAAAGTTAGTCTCCCCACAATAACAGACCGTCGTACAGTTTATTCAAGAATGTCGTGCAAGTATACTGCAACAATTGTGCTGTGAACTTTGCATTGTTTAAAAAATCCAGCTTTTGGTTGATCTTGATGAGCGATCATTGACACTGTTATAAACACAATGACATTATTCTTCTATTAGGGGGTTTGACAATCAGATGATGGCCTTGAAACTCCCAAAATGTTTCCCATTTTGTGTGCCACATGCATCAACGGTCCATGGACGTGGATCCGTCATCTGCTATTTAAATAATTCCAAATGATGAATTCAAATATAGTGTTAAATATGAACACTAAATAAGTGATCGAGTTGATGTGCATGTTTATCTCACACAAGCTTCAAATCTGATTTGATCTTTTAATATGCACACACTGCACAAATAACTTAGATTTCCATTGTTGTTGCATTCTAACTATACTCTTATCATTGCTTATTTTCTTTGTTTTAGAAATCAGACTTTTTATTTATATATTTTGGGTCCTAATTAAGAGACGAAGAGCACGTGAAGCTTTGTGCCATGCTGTTTATATATATATATATATATATATATATATATCAATCAGTAAAAATGCCCCTTCCCACGTCCAAAAAAGTTAGGTTTTTTGCAAACTTTGAAAATATTTTCTTTATGTTTGGATGGAAACCCAGCTAATGAGTGGAAGGAAATTTTTTAGATTGTCACGAAAGACATTTATTTCACAATATTCAACAACAACAGCACCTCGTTCCATGCATCATACGTCAGCATATTACGTCACTATGTGTAAGACTTCCCAGTTTAGTTCTTCAATCCAATCAAATTGTCGTCACCACCCCTTACAATCCGTTTGAAATTTCAAAGTTGGCCAATTCATTCCAATTGACATTCGGACTGTGCTACTAGTCAGATTACAAACATATTATCAGGGCCCGTGTAAATGCATAAAAGAGTAGCTTGGACTATTTTGAGGTGAACTGTCCCTTTAAGTCATTTCAAGACAATAAAACAGGACTCAATTAGGTCAGCTGCCAATTATTTCTAATAAGCAGCAAGTGGTTAGAGCAAACCTTTAACCGATGTCAGTCATTTAGATGACTCATTATTGCTTATGAAGACGGATTGATAAACTGCAGTGAAGCGCTTTATATTCTCACTGATATCCTGTGCAGATGGTGGTCCATTTTTCACTCCTACACATTCTTCCCCTGTTCTCTCTCTTTCCCCATCTCTCTTTGACCCTCTCTTATGGACAAACTCCTTGTAGATTGGTTCTTGCCCATACCATTTTCTCTTTCACAGGAAAACAAAAAACAAAAAGCATTTTCAGTGCCAAACGACTGGTCTTTTTTTGGTCTGTTTGTATAGAGTATTTGATTTAAATGCATTAAATGGAGTCTCATTTCTGTTGTGTATTAGGATTCTGTATGCGGTACTCAGGGTCTGGATACTGCTGTTCTGGAAATACAGAGAGAATGGAGTAGCATATTCGGTGTTCAGGAGCTCTAAGGTGTGTTTATTGTATGTGTAAAAAAATCCATTGAATGTTTTTAAATGACCTCCCTTCTCTTATATGTGCAGTCGCATTTGTCCATTCTGTCTTAAATGTGCAGTTTTCTTGTCTGTTACTTCGTGATGTATGCTACTGTATGCACCTGTTAGTGTCTTGACGTACGGCATGTCTCTTAACTTGCTATAACCTTTAGAAACCTCTCTCTAGGTTCCCTGTTCCTTTTGATATCTATGAGACAAAACAAATAATGTCTAAAACCCCTTTAAATGGTTTCCTTCAGGACTTTTGTATAAGCTAAACATATGCAGCAAAATGCCATTCTCTGTCTGAGCAATCAACTCGAGTACGATGGCTTTCTTTTATTGTCAGGGTTTCAGCGCATGTGCAATAGATGAGGTTTGATCATTTGTCTACCCGCATTTATAAAGGAGTCTCTGAAGGAAGTGAGAGAAAAGTGACCATTTTGATGCACTTTGTTGCTGCAAAACGTTCTTGCTATCAAAGCTTTATGCTTTTTTTTTTCATTTCTTACTAATGTTGTTTCAAAAGTATATCAGAATTGATTCATGTATATAGATCGTAGAACACTGTCTCGCTCACATACCTGCAGTTTGAACTGCCCAGTTATTTGTGTCAGAGTGCCTGATATTGCTGGTTATTTATAGACGTCCGTATTCTGCTGCATTGATCTGAATGTACCTATTACAAAAATCAAAGAAAATAGACAAAAAAGCATGGCCCGAGAAAGCACTGAATGCAACTCTTACTATGTAAATATGTATCAAACCATATAAAGATGCTATTTTTTGCATGCTTTTTGTACACATAGACATAATCAAAGACAATAAAGATATCACAGGTGACTGGTTCCTTCTTTATATTTTGTCATTTAGGGTTTTATTATCATTGTTTATGATAAAAATGAGAATCAATCGATGGAAAATAATTAATAATACGTATTACAGTATTAATTTTGTACACAACAAAACCAATTCCTGGTGGAATCTGGTTTTAAAATTGTTCAAGAATGTAAATTCATAAAAAAAAAAAAAAAAGGTTAGATAAACTAAAATCTAGGTAGATGCAAACAAAGAAGAACTAGGCCATTGTAATTGAATCTGAAATCAATCCAGACAGAGTTATCAAGATACTGGTATAAAGCAGAGGGGGGGTTGTATCATCCTGAAAGGGTTTGGTTTTGATTTGAGTGTAAATTATTTCATTATGCTACGGAAACTCCGAACTCTACCTGATCCTTTATCTCTTTTTAGCAGCAACCACTTTACATACAAATAAAAATATAGAAATGAAATATTGATCATTTTAGAGACAGAAAATGAGCACAGCTACACAAAAGATAAGCGGTTGGGATAAGTAATCATTATTCAGCAATATTTGACCATTGAATGCAGCCATTTAATACCAAGTAGTCCAGAGAGCTGTGTATAATAATAAAATAATAGACTTGTGACGTTGAGCGACCTGTGTGCGCCCAAAGTAAAAATCTAAAGGCATAAACCATCATCATGCCGTCTTTTAGAGCTGTATAGTTTCAGCGTTGGATGGTTCATTTACCTTCTAAAGCTTATTTCACACAAAAATCAGTGTCACAGTTTGCATCACAGTTTGACTTGCTACAAAAATAAAAACCTGTAAAATCACCTATCAGTAAAGTAATAACTGTTTTAAGGTGATTCAATATCAAGATTTGTATATGGCTGACACATCCAGACCTTACCCTGTTTGTAAAAAAAAAAAAAGTTTTAAACCATATAAAGACATCACAAAATTGTTCCTTTACAGTCCTGAGCCTCTCAATGTTAACACACATAGTGGAGATGTGTCTTGAATCAAAACAGTGATTGGATATGTTTTCTCAGCAGTTTGGGAAGGAAATGTCCATTAGAAAGGAAAAGTGATGTTAGACAGTTGTCTGGTCATCTTGCTTATGCTCCAGTGTTGGGGTGTTGTTTTCAGTGCAGGAACGTTATTCAGTCATCGTGGCAGCCGTCTTTGACTTCACTCCTGTGCACAGCAAAGATATGAATTACTGTGACAACAACTCAAATTAAACTTGTGTATGGAGATATGCTATCATTCTTCAGGGATCTGCGGTTGAATGGTATGTCACCTTCGGTAGTTCTCTTTCTTTCTGTGACGGGGGCAAGGTTGGCTTCTGTGGATGGAAAAATCTGAAATTATCAGTAAGGGTCTAAACATTTTATCAATTGTTATTAAGGATGTAGCACTGTCTGATTATTTCTGTATTTTCTTTGATATATTGATCTGAAGCTAGTGTCTGTCAAGAAGAGATCCTAACACCAAGCATATCTACTGACTGTAGATTTTCTCGTTGATTTTTTTTAACGCAAAGTTAAAAGTGTAATTGATGATATTGCTCCTTTGAAAGTCAGGAAGAAGAAAAAAAACACCTGGGAGAAACCCAACAGCAGTGCAAAAAATATGAAAAGACAATGCAGAAAAGCAGAGTGCATGTGGCGAAAGACAAAACTTGTAGTCCATTATAGCGTCAACAAAGACCGCATCCATGCTTTTTGCTACACCAGTCCTCAGGTCTTTACACTGGCCCCCAGTTACATTTATGATTGATTTTAAAGTATTATTACTGGTATATAAATCATTCAATGGGCTAGGACCTCAATACATTGCAGATATGCTCACTGCATATAAACCCAACAGATCACTCAGATCCGGATCACATCAGCTATAAATAAAGCATGGAGAGTCTGCTTTTAGCTATTATGCCAGCCGCAGCTGGAACCAGCTTCCAGAGGAGATCAGATGTGCTCCTACAGTAGTCACATTCAAATCTAGACGGTCCCCAGCGGCAGCAAAAATGATTTTCCAGCCAGTGTGGTCTAGCAACTTTCCGTTGGCTTGCGAGATGGAAAAAACAAACTCTGGTCAGACCAATCACATCGTGTATAGAGTTGATGTGTTAGGAGTTTTGACGACCGGGTGCGGATGGAGAGGGATTTTGAAAGACAACTGTTTATCTGCCCTTCCGATTAAGACAGACCTAGACAGTTCAGACAGTTCCCAGACCTACAGTAACATCTTGTAGGTTTGGCTTGCCAGGCTAAATCAAATCCACACTCAAAACACATCTGTTTAGCTGTGCATTTAATCAATTAGCAATGTGCCACTGTTCTTCCGACTGTCTGTATTTTATTTCATTTTTTACTCTAAACTGTTTTAATTATTCTGATTTCTTTTGATTATTTAATTGTCTTCTATGTAAAGCACTTTGAATTACCATTGTGTATGAAATGGGAATTCAAACCAAATTCAAATGGTAATTCAGTGCTATATAAATAAACTTGCCTTGCCTTTCTCCGAGAGCTGCTAGAGTGGGAGTCCTGCTGGTTAAGATGTGCCCTTGCTTTCTTTTCTCAATAAGAGAAAAGTTTTGTCAATTTGCAGCGTTGCTACGGTAACTATCCCTGCAGAGATTTCTTCAGGAAGACGTGGTGGTGCTGCATAGACTTGAATGCAATAGTTTCCCTTACTGCCCACATGCATACAAAAGTAAGATATTTGCTGACACATGGGTAAGATATTTGCTGACGCATGCTATAGGACTAATTTTCCTCTCTCACACACACTCCATCAGTTCAAGTGAGGTGTGCTTTGTGCACCATATGAGGGCATTTGAATTATGCTGGATGTTTTCTTAATGGTACTACAAGAATTTTGCTTGATGTAAATGTTTGGAAACAGCACTGCATCTGCAACCACTCAAGTAACAATTTTCTCTCATGCCATCTAACTATGTATCTTTGCTGCCATCTAGTCTAGGCTATGGGTAGTGAACCAGCATAAATAACTAGCAACTACTCTATCTAGGCTATCCAACAATGAAAAGCATTATTAGTTACACACCAGCAAACACAAAAGCACGATACTGTTTATTTATTCAAAAGTCAACACTCACCGCTTCCTGGACTTCTGTATGCTTGAATTTCATACTTTTGTAGAAATCTCTCTTTGGGAGTAAATACAGAAGGAGCAAATCGCACACGACGGTCGCCTTAAATGAATTAGAACAAATATTAACTCACTTCAGTGAACTTATAGTTATGAAATTAACTGATGCTGCTACCTAAAGGATTATTAGGAACACCATAATACTGTGTTTGACCCCCTTTCGCCCTCAAAACTGCCTTAATTCGACATGGCATTGATTCAACAAGGTGCTGAAAGCATTCTTTAGAAATGTTGGCCCATATTGATAGGATCGCATCTTACAATTGATGTAGATGATGCACATCCAGGGCATGAAGCTCCCGTTCCACCACATCCCAAAGCTCTATTTGGGTTGAGATCTGGTGACTGTGGTGGCCATTTTAGTACAGTCAACTCATTGTCATGTTCAAGAAACCAATTTGAAATGATTCAAGCTTTGTGACATGGTGCATTATCCTGCTGGAAGTAGCCATCAGAGGATGGGTACATGGTGGCCATAAAGGGATGGACATGGTCAGAAACAATGCTCAGGTAGGCCATGGCATTTAAACGATGCCCAACTGGCACTAAGGGGCCTAAAGTGTGCCAAGAAAACATCATCCCCACCCCATTACACCACCACCACCACCAGCCTGCACAGTGGTAACAAGGCATGATGGATCCATGTTTTCATTCTGTTCACGCCAAATTCTGACTCTACCATCTGAATGTCTTAACAGAAATCGAGACTCATCAGACCAGGCAACATTTTTCCAACTGTTCCAATTCTTCAACTGTCCAATTTTGGTGAGCTCTTGCAAATTGTAGCCTCTTTTTCCTATTTGTAGTGGAGATGAGTGGTACCCGGTGGGGTCTTCTGCTGTTGTAGCCCATCCACCTCAAGATTGTGGCTTCACAAATGCTTTGCTGCATACCTCGGTTGTAACGAGTGGACTTATTTCAGTCAAAGTTGCTCTTCTATCAGCTTGAATCAGTCTGCCCATTCTCCTCTGACCTCTAGCATCAACAAGGCATGGCACTGGATGTTTTTCCCTTTTCACACCATTCTTTGTAAACCCTAGAAATGGTTGTGCGTGAAAATCCCAGTAACTGAGCAATTATGAAATACTCAGACCGGCCCGTCTGGCCCCAACAACCATGCTACACTCAAAACTGCTTAAATCTCTTTCTTTCCCATTCTGACATTCAGTTTGGAGTTCAGGAGATTGTACTGACCAGGACAACACCCGTAAATGCATTGAAACAACTGGCATGTGTTTAGTTGATTAGATAATTGCATTAATGAGAAATTGAACAGGTGTTCCTGATAATCCTTTTGGGTGAGTGTATATATATATACAGTATATATATAAACCACAAAACAATTGTAATCATTTTTCACAATATTGCTGCATTTAATGTATTTTTGATCAAATAAATGCAACCTTGATGAGGATAAGAGATGACTTTTAACAATTCAAAAATTTTATTCAAGTTTTTTGACCACAGTGGACCAATCGGAATCAAGTATTTCGTAGGGCTGTGCAATATACTTCCACATAAATGCATGGAGAATAGAACACAATTATTATTTTTTTCATCTGGTATCTTCACCTTGATTACTTTAAACAATAGAATCCAAAAGTGGAATCTGTGGTTAAATGTAATTAAGGAAATTAAACCAGGTTTATTTCGTTATGATATTCTATTCTCTGTTAGACTCACCACTCCAAAGATTCCTACTCCTGAGCCTATGGCCGTCAGAGTTGGAATAATATCAAATTTTCCTGCCTACAAGAAAAAGTGTAAACAAAAATTGAAATGTGCATGTGCCGTAATTTCTTTGTCTATGATCCATAAGAAAATTATGCTTACCCTTCCATGAACAATGATGTCTATCCGTACACCAAACACCTTCATTAGTGTTCTCTTCTCCACGTTATTCTCCATATAATATTTAGCATATCTGAAAGAGTCAGTAGCACATAATAGTTCAAGTGAATCCAGAAGATATGAATTAATTAATTAATTTGGAGATCTCATTGAAGGTCACATGCTTATGGACAGTTCAGTACAACAGGTTTGACCTTTTCTCAATTTAGCTGTAATTTTATGTTATGCAGTAATGATTATTGGTAAATAATCTGTGATTATGCAGTGAAAATTCTAAAACGTTTCATTATATAACCGTGTTTGTCTCTTTACCAGTTCTGCTTCCAAAAAGTTTGTTTTCACAAGGTGATTAAAAAAGGGAATAAACTTTCTTACCCACCTAAAATTGTATCCCAATGATGGCTTCTCCACTTTTTCATTTCTCCCTGTTCCATAAAGTCCATAGAATTCATACCTTGGTTTGCAATGTCTGATACTTAGATCCAGATTGCAGTCCCAGTCAACAAGGATGCCTATAGCACCACCCTAAAACATCACTTATATCATGAGGATTATCATCTTAATCAGTCTTCTCCAGTCACTACAACAATAATATTCTTGTAAACCTTTAATAAACAATGTCATAACAAAATGTAATATTGGATGTGTTGAAATAGATGTATTTGCAGCAGAAGGAAATTAGCATTTTTAAGCCAAAGGTTCCTTGGGAATTTCCTACGTTTTAAAAAATATTATTATTAGGGCCCGAGCACCTCCGTTGCCACGAAACTGCACTGACAAGACGCCGACCAACGAAAACAGTACTTTGTCAGGTTTTGTCAGATCTGTGTAATATTAATAATGTCGGTGTCGCTGTTGGTGTTGTTTTCGCTGATTGAACATTTTGTAATCTGGTGATTGTCCTTGTTAAACGTCAGTGCAGTGTGAATTGGCTTTTATTTTACTCATAAAGAAAAAATTGCTGTGTGTGTATTTAAAATCATCAGTGACAAAAAAGACCCCTACCACACGAGCTATGTCAGAGAAATTGAACCCTGAACGCTCAACAATGTCTCCTAATCTGAAGATAGGACACAGCGCATCAGTCTTGGGGTGATACAAACAGTTATTGATGTAATTCTGGTCCACACTCTCCACCAAGTTACTCCTAGAGAAAGAAAAATGTATGAGGAGAACGTTTATCTAGTAGACAAAATGGATAGATTTACCCCTGGTAAATATGATCAAAGATGGCTTTTTTTTTTTTTTTTTTTTTTGCAAAAATCTAACCTTTCATTGAAGTAAAAGAATTTAAGTGGGAGAAAGCATTTAATTCATTATGTGATTTTCACAAACACATTGGCAATAATTATTGGCATCCTTTTATTAAATACTTTTTGCAACCTCCTTTAGCCAAGATAACACCTGATGAGTTTGGAGAACCTGACAAGAGATCAGATCATTCCTCCATACAGAATCTCTCCAGATCCTTCAGATTCCCAGATCCATTTTGGTGCTTTTTCTCTTCCACTCAGTCCACTCACCAGGTCAGGGAACTGGGACGGTTATGGCAGAAGCTTAATTTTGTGCTCAGAGACACATTTTTGTGTTGTTTTTGGACCATTGTCCTGATGGAAGATCCAACCATGTTCCATTATAAAATTTCTAGCAGACGCCGTTAGGTTTTGATTTTTTTATCTTTTGGTATTTACTAGAATCCATGATACCATGCATCTAAACAAGATGTCCAGGACCTTCAGCAACAAATAGGCCCACAACATAAAATATCCAGCGGTATATTTCACTGTGGGCATGGGGTACTTTTTTATCCCTGTTTGCACCAAACACAGGTGGCTAAAGCAGTTTTTTCATCTGACTCCCTTTAGGAGTTGCAGTCATGTCTGACTACTAAATATGCTTGATATTTTTTTGTATGAACGATATATAGTTTTATTATTTTTAGGCTTTCTGACTCAACTAATCTCTGCAAGAGATTATATTCAAACTAATCTCTGCAATTCTCCAACTATGCTCCTTAAAGAGTCTTTGGCCACTCAAACGTTCCTCCTCACCATACATTGCAACGTCCACTTTCAGGCAGATTCGTAACATATTTAGTTGATTGGGACTTCTTAATTATTGCCCTGATGGTGAAAATGGGGATTTTCAATGCTTTAGCTATTTTCTTGCAAGTCACTTTCTATTTTGTGAAGCTCATTAATCTTTTGCTGCTCAGAACTGTTTTCTTTGGTTTTACGCATTGTGATGCATGATTAAGGGAATCTGGCCTTTGTGTGTCCTCATAATTATACTCCTGTTGTGAAACAAGAAGTCATAGCACTATCTTGTTTAGGAGAAAAACATTTATTTCATAATGTGACTATTTTGTTTAATGTGTATTTTCTTTGTTTTCAACAAAAGTTCATTTGATAAATGCAGGCTTCCTACAGTACCTACATTGATTGGGGGAGACACCTGGTTTATAGGAAAGGCACTTTTAAAATAGTCTTTTCTAAGTTAAAAATTTCCTTTTGCTTTCATATAAGATTAAAAAAAAAACACTTTATATGCTTTGAATGTATGTGTTAGAAGTTGCCATTATACCACAAGAAACAACAAACAAATTGGAAAAGAAAGCATTTACCTTACTACATTAAACTGGCGAAAAGTAATGGAATTTTTGATGAACAGTGTGTAGTTTTCTGCTGTCTGCAGGATTGGAGGGCTACATGAGGGACAAAACAAAGTTAAATGGATCAGACTGTGGGCTGATTTAAACCATTTTAAATACAATTTGTCACATGCTCCAGGTATAAACAAACATACATTTATGTTTAGGGCTGTCACATGTAGTTTGATTCACTTGTTCCCAACATTTCGACATAGACATGAAGTGCAAGCTACTCAGAAATGGTGTTTGCTTCTTAATAAGAAGTAACAAAATGCATTATAGTCAAACTATAATACATTGCTGCTAACAAAAAATGAACATGCAGTATCCGAGTATAAGCAAGAGTTTGTTGTTAGTCGTAGCAGCAAACACTCAATACCAATGTTACTCACACCAGAAACAACGCCAGCAGTGGAAAGCTTTTCTAATATTAATGCGGGTCCTAAAGCTCTTGCCTGATGACAACTTTTTCCAGATATTCCTCTGAACTTTCCTCTTTTGTTGATGTCAAAATTTGACAATGACAGAAATCTTAAAATCTCCCTCTTGCTCGCTCTCTCTTCTCCCCCCTCATGAGTGTATACGCCCCCTACTGCTGATTGGATAGAATTTGTTGTGGTGCTCTGTCCAATCCTTTTTTTCCAGAAATCGATTACTGCGCCTTTAAGAAAACTAACTAAAGTCCAGTTCTGTCAAAGTTGTGCCACAATGATTCTTACAAGTTACTGTTTGACACCCCAATATGATTAAACATATTAATCAACAGTAATAATAAAATAAGCAGACATACTCTGGTATTTGACGGTCGTCTTCAACAGGACACCAGGAGTAGATCTCACAAGTACTGGTGCTGGTGTTACACTTGCCTGTCATGTACCCTGAGAGAGAAGATAATGTCGTAAGGGAAGTGGGAGTATAAGAGGTTTAGATGGATCAGAACAGACTGAAACAAAAGCTTGATCAAAACATAATCGCGAGGGATGATCATTGGATCCAAAAGTCTGACTTCCCTTGTGAAAATGCTTTGATGTATATTTTTCTAATTTGGATGTATGGATGGATTCAGTTAGAAAAATACTTCTCTTTGAAGCACATGATTTTGTTTTGACCAAGCTTTTTTCAATCTGTTCTCCACTCCAACCCTCTTATAGTTGTAATATATATTTTTTTAAAATCATCGATTCCATCAGTCTAGCTATATAGCAATGGTTTCATCAGATTGCAGTTGGTCATATCCAACGCATTCTCATCCTTTAACGTCATATAGCAACGCGTTCTCATCCTTTAACGTCATATAGAACGCTATATGACAAAACGGCGCTATACTACGCGCATGGCACACGTTATCGTTAATATAACACGCGCTGTGAGGGCTAAGTTTAGGTGTGGGGTAGGGTGTGCGTGTCACATTCACGCTAAAGGATTTATAACGTCTTGGGTTCGCGTGTTATATTAACGATAAAGGGTGCCATATGCGTAGTATAGCGCCGTTTTTGCATATAGCGTTCTATATGACGTTAAAGGATGAGAACGGGCTGTCATATCATATGTTTGTAATTTCAGTCTGACTCTTTTTTACATTGCCAGGAACGTTTACATTCAAACACTGAACTTGCTTTGGTGGTAGCATGGCACTGACAAACCTTGTGTCAAGGATTAAATACACGTAACATTAAATACACAAAGACATAATTATACAATTAGCATGAAATAAAATGCAGTCCACAGCATGGCATAAACAGTTGTGTGTTTTCACAGAAAACAACAGTGATTTTTTTTGTCAGTATGAAACAGGATTAGTAGCATGTGTTGTATTAAAGTTTGGTGGAAGTTTGTGCCTGTCATCCATGACTGAAAGTCAGGAAACTATGATGTGAAACGTACTCGGTTACTAATGTAACTTCGGCTCTCTCTAGATAAGGGAACGAGTGTTGCATAAACTAGCTTACACTACAGGAAAATCCCTTTTCTTGAGAATACTGAAGCCAAAAAATGATCCTTAATTTTGCAATGATTTAAAACATATTGCTGCCTAGAGCAGACCTAGGTGAGGCAGCTTGCATGCCTATTGGTTGCTCTGTGGCAACCTATCGTGGGACTGTATGTGATGTAAGCACCAATGAAGGGCGCGGGTGTCACGTCCCGCCAGAAGGGGCAGGGCTTATGTCTATATAAGCAGAGTCCAGATAGGGTTTTCTTTGGTTTTTCACACTGAAGCGAAACCAGAACGCAGCACACGAACTACAGTGTTACGCAACACTCGTTCCCTCATTTAGAGAGAACCGAGGTTACATTAGTAACCGAGTACGTTGTCATACAAGAGTACTCTCGTGTCTACGGGAACCCAATGTAAAACACCATGCGTGCTAATTAAGGTCGTCCACACATGGCCCCAATGGCATGTGCCCAGGGCCAATGTGACATGGGTTTCATTTATTTATGTTTGGATAATTTAGCATAGTTCCTGTTGTAAATGACAAGGTAGAATTTGGCTACTGAGAATGTTTGAAAACTGGAACCTGAATTCCTTTTATGTCTATTTTCTTTGTATCTCAAACATGTTTTTGCTGCTAGTACTATTAAATTACACTTGGCATTTGAACTGAAACTGGATTAGAGCCCTGTGGAATTACAGACATCAGTGAGCAAAGTGTAAAATCCATCAAAGATGTGGAAAGCTAAGGAAAAAATCATCAGAGCAAGAGAGCAAAGCATGGTAGTCATGAATTTTAGTGACTTACAGAGACGACGGCATGGTCGATGGGGAGTTAGAAGAGCGAAAGTTCATTAGGCCTCCAGCAATTCTGAGTGGAACTGAAACCAAATGCTTACGTGCAAGCAATTTTCTTACCCCATGATTTATTTGAATTTTGTGGTACATATCTTAGACCGCTGGTAGACTGATTTAGTTGCCAGTCAAGGTCAAATTGATTATATAATGGTCATGAGAAGACACCCAATAGCTGATTTCCACTGGCCCCACAGCTGCTGTTAGTGATGGGAAGTTAGTCTGCTGTGCTGGTGCCTTCTGTTGGGACAATGAAATGGATAGAACTTTACCATTTCCCGTACGTTTGTATTTGCTCTCATCACAGTCTGTGTCCGAGGTGCACTTGTTCCTGTTCTTCTCATCTGGTAGCTGAAACAAACAAGATGGGAAATGCACTTTAATGTTTATTAGTGTTTAATTAAGCCCGATAATTTGCTTGCTTGAAAATATACAAATGTGAGATCCAAATGAGAGAGGATGCACAGAAGGGGCAGAATCACCACAAAACCTAATTATTTGTTTAAGCAAAGCTTTTTCAGGTAGGGCTAAAGTCAAATAGAGATTCAAGTGAAAGACAAATATGACTGAGGTAAACCGAGAGTATGAATATGAATAAATAGATAGTAGACAGGATGTCCATGTATGAAAATAACTTAGATGGAAAGTAACAGATTAGATAGTGGTTGCCAAGGTCAGACAGCAGGTGAAATACTTTGTTTTGTTCAATCGACCACACTGTAGCAAAAAAAAAGTCTTTGTCTCATGTGTATTAAAGGCTGAATTAAGTGCTAACATGCGTTTGAGATTCAGTCACATCACTCAAATGTATCTGTTGTAAAAAAAGAAAAAAACATCCTATCGTACTTGTCACGATTAGCCACGCACTTCCTATGTTAACTTGGACTACATTTCCCATCATACACCTCCCTGGGCTGATTGCACCAAATACCATACACCTGCACTGCACTGATAGCAGCCACTTCCACACACCACTTCTCTGAGAAGTATTGTGTTACTGCTGTGAGTATTACCAAGCTTTTCCCCTGTCTGATATCTTCCTGGTTTTACCCTATCCTGATCTCTGTTGCCTAGATGGGGCCAGATCGAGGCTTTGTGAAGCAATGAAACAGTTGAACCAAATGTGCCATATTGTGTCGAGGCTTCGAATCAATTCGAAACCCGTCTCAATGGCGACACCTAGTGGTCGCTTGCAGGTGTTTATCTAAAACAACCTTGACAATGAGCCTTAAAAAATATTTTATTTTACTATTATTGTTTTCCACTATGTGAAGCTTGTAACCTTTAGGCTCCTTACTGAGCAGAATGTTATTTTGGTCCTGAAAATGAATATTAATACAATAAATCAAGCCACAGTGTCTCACCTTTTTAGAAATTCTTATAAAAAAATATATTAATTTATCTTCTTTGGAAGGACTTAGTCTACTTTTTTAACATATACTTTATCCAGTCTTTGAAAAAATAAAAAAATAAAAAAACAGAACAGAATGACCAAATGTGCAAGTTGGCATGAGTGTGTTTCAAAAGCAATAACTTCAGTGTTTTCAACTGTATTTCAGGTGATACTAAAATATTGGACAAACTGCATTACAAATGGCTTTTACATGGAAAATGATTCTGTTCTCTTAAAAACAACAATTCCATATTGTGTGGGAAACTTTCCATTTGCATGCTGCATGACATCTGATGTCAGGAAATCAAATAGAGATATTAATCTGAGCTAAAAAACAAACACCACAAGAACCATAATAATGAAAGACAATAGAGATGACAAATGGAGAGAGATACTGTATGTCTTTACTTACCTCGGGACATGTGCCCTGTTCCTGTCCCACAGAGGAAATGTAGTTGGTCATCACAACAAAAGACGAATCGCCCTAGAAAATAGAACAGAAATCACTTGAAGGAATGAAATTTAAATCCATATAAGCCCAAACCAGCTTACAGAACAGAGTCAGATTGCCATGTTGAATTCCCATCCTTTCTCATCATATTTGGTGGTGATGCAGGAGAGTGTTTGAAGTTGACTGTGCATATGTGTACATGACATCATGCTACTGTTTTTGACACCCCTGCGTGACATGATGTCCTATTTTGAAACCAAATACTAAACCCAAAACAAACTGCAAATAACAAAACAACATTTTTTACATTGGTTCAGTATTAAAAGCGTGTTTACACTTTTTGTGTAAATAGGCATGGCTATATTTTCAGCTCAGTGTCAGAGAGGCTGATGCATTTATTTGTCTGGGGCTGAATGTAATGTTTAACCTCAGCCTCAAATAGCCAAAGTGTCAGTCCATATCTGAGGTCTCTGTTCTGCTTGTGCTTTTAGCTTATAGTGTAACTACAGCAAATTGTAATCAAAATCAACAGTGCCTTCTTCTCTTACACATACTGTACATGTGTCAGGTTTTCTGAGTTCAAATATAGAATTAGAATGTAGTACACACATAGAATATAGTGAATATATAATACATTTCGGGTTGATACAGTACATAATTTATGAATGTTAAGTAATGAAATATCAATTTTAGATGAGTTTCCTATTTGAATAAATAAAAAAAATAAAAAATTGATTCCTGTGATAAAATTGTGCAGAATCGTGTGTGTGTGTGTGTGTGATGGCAGAGCTGAATTTTCAGCAATCATTATTCCAGTCTTCAGTGTCACACGATCATTCAGAAGATCAATCAATTTAAAGGGATAGTTTACCCAAAAATAAAAAGGTTTCACTCTCAAACCTGTACGAATTTCTTTCTGCTGCTGAACACAAAAGAAGATATTTTGAAGTCGGCAACCAAACAGTTGATGGTCCCCATTGACTTCCATAGTATTTTTAAATGAGGACCATCGACTGTTTCGTAACTATTTCCTATTGGGAAAATTTCCTTTTGTGTTCAGCAGAAGAAAGAATCTCATTCAAATTTGGAACAACTTGGAGGTGAGTAAATGGTGGCAGAATTAAATTTTTTAGGTTAATGAGCCCTTTAATGCATCATTGCTGAATAAAAGAATTTTAAACAGTAGTATGTACACATATGGATGATATTTGTTATCGCTATGGACAATTTGATGTTTACTTTTTTGGACATGAGACTATCAAGAAGCTCCTGGAGCCACTCCTTTAATTGCTAAGTGATGACGTCTTTACTTTTATGTCAACAGTTGGTCTGTTTCTTATTGCCCTGGGTGATTTCTGCGAAATAACGAAACTTCTGAAAACGCTGCAGGCTGTTGGCATTAAGTAAATAATTACAGGCATTTTCAGTTATTTGTTTAAAAGGTATATCCTTATGATCAACAGTGGTGTTATGTTTCTGTGTTAACCTTCTATACTCATATTGAGTCATAAATGAGATGTTTTTACTTGCCTTGACAATGTTAGCACTTTGAGTGAGAAGAACCTGAAGCTACTGTAGGCTATGTGACTGCAAATGTCAAAAAGAGTACTTTGATCTATGATTTGGCTCAATCCACACTTATAATGACACTTTGCTGGATGGGCAATTACCCAGTGTGTTATCTATCTGAATTCAAATACATGTATTGATAAAACTAAAAAAAAAGATACCTAAATCAAGGCCCTCTGAACTTTTCAAAAATGAAGAGGCACAACCCACCTGTTCAGGAAAAACATAATCGGCTGCATCCCATATCCTCTCCACATTACTGATATTTGTGTAGGACACACCCTTCATCTTGGTGAAGACAGAGCTTATAGCAGTATCCACTGTCTGGTAGCCTTTCTCATACATAAACACCCAACTAATAACAAAAAAAAAAACGAACATTACTGATCTGCCATAATCAATCTGCATTCTGAAGACTACAAATTGTATTCACATTCACAGTAATTCACAATTATTCTATAAACCATACATTATAAATATTGTATTTCAAAATGAGGAATTTTAGTTCATGTACTCTGAATGGCAAATTGCATTAAAATCAGTATTTTACAAAAGATTTTTATGAAGCCATGAAATAATATACAAACTTTTTACAGAATATATATGACCAAAAGATCACATTCTTACACAAACGTGTAATTTTGATATATTTTGTTGATTGTGGATTAATATATTCTCGTTTTTGACAATGCAGAAATTATTTTACATTTCTTTTATCTATATTTGATTCTGATTCTGAAAAGGTATTCTTTCTTTTTTTTTTTTCATGAATTCTCACAACATGTCATGGTTCATGAATTCACTGTCTCTCTCTCATCTCGCGTGCTGTTGTGTGTGTGTGTGTGTGTGTGTGTGTGTGTGTGTGTGAAGGATCCTGCACGTGGGGGGTGTTCAGGAACAGTCTTATCCAGCCATGCTGTGGCTGATGTCACTAACTTACATTCGTTTTGAAAGCTTTTAGGTATTAGGAAGAATGCATTTAGTTATTCAGATGATTCATCCTTTGCCCTGACCTAACATCATGTTACTGTTGTCCGTTACACAAGACACATTTTGTCAATATTGAACTTTTGTCTCACTTTTTGATTGATAATAACAGTATAATTTATAATTGCATTATTTTATTTGGGTAAAAAGCATATAGTGTATCACTATTAAACTTGCCCAGCAGTTGGAGGAAAACTTTTAAATGACATGAGGCTGTTGCTGTTCTATAGTTTGCGTTTCAGAATGTGTGTGTATGTTCACGCATAGTTAAGCCATCTTGTGTCATAAAAGTATGAAGCAATAAGATGTTGGCCTCACGCCCTAATGAGACACAGAAAACGTTATTCTTCCTTTTGAAGCATGACGGTGTCTTGTTGTCTGACACACCTAAAGATGGCAATGGCATACTGCTCCAGACAGACCAAACAAACAAATGCTATACGCGCAGGGATTATCGACCTTTATCAGTTTGTTTCATTCAGATTACCTGACTACAAAGACAAACAACTTCTACATGACAGATAACAGAAGCGACCAAGTTCAAGCATGAAATCCAGCTATTGTTTTTAATGGTTTTAGCTCCAAACAAATACTTCGGCCTGCTGTGTTTTGGACTAGAACTGCATTTGATTCATTTAGAGTGGTCTGCAGATGTTCACTGATTAATTAAAGGGAGTAACAAAGGGATGCGATAGCAGCAAACTTCATTTGATCAATGATCACTGACATTAAAGGGATAATTCACCCAAAAAAAATGGAAAATTCTGTCATCATTTACTCCCCCTCAACTCATACAGGTTTGGAACAACTTGAGGGTGAGTAAATGATGACAGAATTTTAATTTTTGGCTGGACTTTCCCTTTAAAGGGATAGTTAACCCAAAATTTAAAAGTAGCCCAGGATTTACTCACCATCAAGTCATACTACATAGGTGTAAATGACATTCTTCTTTCAGAATAATACAATCGGAAATATATATATATTTTTTTTAAATATCCGGGCTCTTTCAAGTTTTATAATGGCAGTGAAGTTCTGTTTTGAAGTCCATAAAAGTTCATCTGCCCATCATAAAAGTACTCTAACATGGCTCTGTGGAGGTTAATATAGGCCTTCTGAAGCGAAGTGATGAATTTGTGTAAGAATAATATCCATATTTTAAAACTTTATAAACGTATAGTCACTTTGATACAGTAAAATAATTTAGCAAGTGCTCTTTAAAGTAGCCTAATAATTGTAAAATATAGTAAAAAACTGTTTACAGTGAGATGTACCACAGTGTAAAAAAAAAATCAAGATTTGTTATCACATTTTTTCTTTTGTCAAATCAACTTAAATAATTTATTTAGTGGAGAATTATTTTTAGTTTCTGATGATTATAGTAATCTCCTTCATTGGATTAACTCACTTTTTCCAGTTCAATCAACTTAGAATTTTAAGGCAACTAGATTACTTTTTTAAGTTAAACCAACAATATTTTTTTACAGTGCACCTAAAGTGGAAACAGAGAAGTATTGCTATGTATCATGCACTTTTCCAAATGAATTATTGCTCCAAAATACAGTAGTCATTTATTTGAACACACTTATTCAACATTTATTCTGTTACTGTAAATGCAAATTGTATTGCTTAGAGCAGGGGTTTTCAAATTGTTCCGGGAAAAATCTTGAGTAAAAATGTAAATAATAATAGTAATAAATGAATTAAAGGGTGTGATTAAAATAATATTAGTTGTTATTTAAACTCAAATAAATGTTAGCTTTTACAAACAAGTCTTTATGCAACATTCATATAATCAGCATAGCCTATCTTTTACACACACATGCCTAATAATAGTTATCTAATACATACTGAGGCCCAGCTGTGAGCTTTAAGACTGGAATTGAGCTGTTGGAATGTTGTAAGCCATTAAAACTAAATCAGACACAATGAAAAGCATGTGGACATACACCTGCTTTTAAGCAAATCAAGCTGACAAAATAAATCTCTCCTTATTCTAATTTACTTCAGAAACATGTCTGTCTGTTTTGTAAGTCAGACCAAGCAATATCCTAAATGATACATCATGACTTTGCTGTTCAGGTCAATACAAGGCTTGAGCCGTTAGTTGTTTACATTCTGTACATTTTTTTGCTGTTGTTGAAGCATGTTCTGTTTCGACAGTCATGCTCGGGTTGCTTCTGCTTTTCTTTTTCAGTTTTTTAAAAAGAAAAGGAATCTCTTACCCAATTATGTAGGATAGAACACCCAGCTGGATGATACGGCACACAACTGCAACTCTTCTGTTCCTGACCAGAACTTGACGAGGAGTTTCGTATTCAAAGAAGAAGTTTGAAAAAGATCTCTGTATTATGGATTTCATTTTTCTCATTGGAAGGAAAGGGAAGAAAAATATGATAAATCCTCCTCTGTGTTCTTGAGATGTCCTAGAAAACTATGTAAGATGCGTGTCGAGTGCTGATCTCTGACTTCCTTCCCCTCAGCTTTATCTCTCTCTCTCTCTCTTTTACTCTTCTAAACTAAACACTTCTTTAAATAAACCACACACTTTGCGTTGTCTTCATCCCCCCTCCTCGTGAGACTGTAATACAAATTCATGTACATGTGGATAAACTTCTTAAGGGTGGAGTAAGAACTCCAATAGCAAATAAAGGCTTAATGTCCACCACACATCTGTGACGTCCCTGAAACATCCCTCCCTCTCTCTATCTCTCTATCAGCACTCTTATTACCTTCAGTCACTTCCTTTACTGAATGACTGCTAAAGATTAAACCCAGACAAAAAAAAAAAAAAAAAAAAAAAACATGTTATATATGTATATACACATTAATTTTAAGCGAAGCATCTCGGTTATTGCTATATGGTTCAGCACCATCAGACATAAAACAAGACTTTGAACTTTCGAAAGAGTATATAGGATCAATTACCAGCCAAAAATGCCTGCAGTGAAATGAAATTTCTTGATTCAAGGAATGATTATCATCAAGTGCACACAGGCTTATCCAGTGCACACACTGACACATGTCATTTTGTAAATTGCTTAAAAATGCAGACAGTGGCTTTGTACGGTACATATTTAGGGGAGCGCGGGGCACAGCGTAACGCAAGGCTAGTTGTAACAAGCTTGTTTAAAATACTTCAACACATTACGAAACTTGGTGTATTTACTAGTTGCCATTTCAACACTATATAGAGAAAAAAATGCACCAAAATTCAAAGATCTTTGTAAGATATTACTGAACATTTATTTATGATAGCAAAAGCACATTTCTTACTTAAATTAATTTTTGTGACAAATCTGATATTATTTTAATCTCCAATCTGTTGTTTGACAATTAATATAGTTCTTTAATGCTTCACTAGCAAAAGACACTAGCAGGGTTTAAACCCCAGTTGTGCAGTTGGGGCATGTTGTAACACAATGTGCCCCTATTATGCTAGTATATTCTATACTTTTATGAATTCTATTGAGAAAACATGAGAAACATGTAAAAGACTGAGAGTCAATGTTCAGAAATTATTAATTAGGGCCCGAGCACTAACAGTGCGAGGACCCTAATGAAACTGTTGGGATTATTATTATTATTTTTTTTTTTTTTCTGCAAAGTATGTGCCATTTTCGCGGCCACGACATGCTCAAAAACTCACCAAATTTGGCACTCATGTCAGGACTGGTGAAAAATTTCGTATTTTGTGGGTTTCGCGGATGGGCGGGCCAAAATGGGCCATTACGTACTTTAACGAACTCCTCCTAGGGATTTAGTCGGATCCACTTCAAATTTCTGCTGTGCCTTCTAAAGGCATTGACGATGTAAAGTTGTGCTATCTGCGCGTTTTCGTCGATGGGCGTGTCCGTGGCGTCGATGTTTCGCCATGAAACAGGAAGTTGAAGTAACTTGGCTATAAATGCCCAGATCTGCAGGAAATTTTACACATTTGACAAGAGTCCCGCCCTGAACAAATCTAAATGCCGACATTCACCCACAGTCATAGCGCCACCTGCTGGCAACAGGAAGTGACTTTTAACGAAGCAGCCCCCACCGCTTGTTTGACCGACATGTACGAAATTTCTGTGGTACATCTACCATGACCAGACGTACAAAAAAGCCTCAAGAACCCATACCCTAAACTCGACAGGAAGTCCGATATTTTGAATTTGGCGCCCATTTTGGAACGATTTACACACTCCGTACTTTAACGAACTCCTCCTAGGGATTTAGTCGGATCGACTTCAAATTTCTGCTGTGCCTTCTAAAGGCATTGACGATGTAAAGTTGTGCTCTCTGCGCGTTTTCATCGATGGGCATGTCCGTGGCGTCGATGATTCGCCATGAAACAGGAAGTTGTAGTAACTTGGCTGTAAATGCCCAGATCTGAATGAAATTTGACACATTTGACAAGAGTCCCGCTCTGAACAAATCTACATGCCCGCATTCACCCTAAGTCATAGCGCCACCTGCTGGCAACAGAAAGTGACCTTTAACGAAGCAGCGAACCAAATTCACAGCCGCACCGGCTGAGCCACAGAATATGCAACACGGCTGCCTCACACCCCAACGCGCTACAGGTGCGAGGGCCCACCCATCGCTGCTTGCAGCTTTAATTTTTTTTTTCTTTTTTCTTTTTTCTTTTTTTTTCTTTTTTCTGCAAAGTAAGCTCCATTTTCACGGCCACAACATGCTCAAAAACTCACCAAATTTGGAACGCATGTCAGGACTGGTGAAAAATTTCGTATTTTGTGGGTTTCGCGGATGGGCGTGGCAAAATGGCTCGCTAGCGCCACCTAGAACATTGGAAAAAATTAGCCCCTCGTCCACGTTCAACCTACATGCACGAAATTTGGTGGGGACATGTATCATATCAAGACGCACAAAAAAGCCTCAAGAACCCATAGCCTAAACTCGACAGGAAGTCCGCCATTTTGAATTTGGCAGCCATTTTGGGACGATTAACACACTCCGTACTTTAACGAACTCCTCCTAGGGATTTAGTCGGATCGACTTCAAATTTCTGCTGTGCCTTCTACAGGCATTGATGATGTAAAGTTGTGCTATCTGCGCATTTTCGTCGATGGGCGTGTCCGTGGCGTTGATGATTCGCCATGAAAGAGGAAGTTATAGTAACTTGACTGTAAATGCCCAGATCTGCACAAAATTTTACACATTTGACAAGAGTCCCGCCCTGAACAAATCTACATGCCGACATTCGATCACAGTCATAGCGCCACCTAGTGGCAACAGGAAGTGTCCTTTAACGAAGCAGCCCCCGCCGCACGTTTGAGCGACATGTACGAAATTTCTGTGGTACATCTAACATGTCCAGACACACAAAAAAGTCTCTTGGAGCAATGCCCTAAACTCAACAGGAAGTCGGCCATTTCGAATTTTACCGCCATTTTTCCATGATTTACTCATTACGTACTTTAACTAACTCCTCCTAGGGATTTAGTCAGATCGATTTCAAATTTCTGCTGTGCCTTCTAAAGGCATTGACGATGTAAAGTTGTGCCATCTGCACGTTTTCGTCGATGGGCGTGTCCGTGGCGTCGATGATTCGCCATGAAAGAGGAAGTTGTAGTAACTTGGCTGTAAATGCCCAGATCTACACGAAATTTTACACATTTGTCAAGAGTCCCGCTCTGAACAAATCTACATGCCGACATTCACCCTAAGTCATAGCGCCACCTCCTGGCAACAGGAAGTGACCTTTAACGAAGCAGCGTAGCAAATGCACATCCGCACTGGCTGAGCTGCAGAAAGACCCCGACGTGCTACAGGTGCGAGGGCCCGCCCATCGCTGCTTGCAGCTTTAATTATTATTTTGTTTTGAACTATGCTGTGTTTTTCAGTGTATTTGTTGTCAAACTCAAAAATTTGGCTAGTTTATTTTTAATTATTCAAAAATTCCATTATTTTATATGGAAAAATGTAATAATTGTATTTTATTAAGAAAATATTTTGGTTTGACTTGTATATATATATTTTTTTATTAGATGAGATAGCATTTTAAGCTGTGATATGGTGATGTCACAATGTGCCCCTCACATGTTACACATATGGGGTATGTTGTCAAATTCAAGAAAAAAAGTATACACTGTAATAATAAAACAAAACCACGTAATTGTACTAGACCTGTGGGAAATAAATGTGGGAAAAAATAAATACTCTAAACCCTAAGTAGATTTACACAAACTGAGAAAAGTCTAAAAGCATTATGTTGAGTATCAAATAGGCTACTGCAGGCATTTTTTTATCATTCCATTACCCCCCCCCCCCCCCCCCCAGAAAAGACTGTGAAAATACTTCAAATCAAAGCACTGTATTTAAGAGTTTTTTTTTTTATTAGCCTACATTATACTTTATTAATTATTATTCCCAATTATTGTTGAAATACTGAATTTTGCTCAGAGCCTCGCTATCAGTTGTTGAACAGCTGTGACAACTGACAGCGTGTTTAGACAATTTTTATCATCTTTACTCATGGTGGGTCACCACTAGAGGACGCAATTACTCTTTCTGTGTAGGTGACTTTTATTCTGCGTCTTTCTCGTGGCTTAAAAAGCCTGTTTTGGGGCGTTTTTTTTCCATTAACTTAGTAAAAATTATACATTAATAACCAAGCCATTAAGATAGACTCAATTAAACGCCGTTAAATTGTCCTTTTTCCATAATGTGGTTTTAAGCACAGTTATGTAGGCAACAAGGTACGAGAGGCTGCGAATAAGTAACGGCTGAAGGAAGGGCGTTAATAGGCACGAGTCACGACGTGATTGTTATTCACGAGACAGCACTTGCCTCGAGTACCTTGCTTTTATAAAACGGTTACCACACTACAAATATTAAAGTAAAAAAAAAAAAAAATCTATATATATATATATATATATATATATATATATATATATATATATATATTAAGCTTTTAGTGATTTTACTTCATGAAAGTTGCACTAGGGCCTTCTAGAAAAAAGTCCCTGACCGTAAACAGCAACAACAACCAATGTGTAATATGCTCAAATAAAAACAATATGAACTGCAGTGTTGCGCAGTGATTAAATAGAGCCGTTTGGTGAAGCGGTCATAGCCGTTTTATCATGAAGCACTGTTTGGAACTACCCGTTTTATTTAGCCTATTTTTTTCTTGTTTCTTGATGTTTTTTTGTGTTAAATTGTTCAGATGAAATTCTGTCTAAACAATAATGCGTCAGTACACAATCATCATTCATTTTGTTAATAGTGTACATTTCAAATAGAATATCCATTTTATAGATATTAGATAATATAGCCTACATAGCCTATTTGCATTGGAACTTCCCGTAGTTTTCTTTGAGAAGGTTTCATTCTCACTGCAGTCTTTTGGTAGTAGGCAATCTCGCAATATTTGAGCTGTTTTCTTTCTTTTGTCACTTTCCATTTCCAAGACAGCTCATTGAGTTGTAATTTTTGAGGCTCCTCCTCAACGTCAATCTTCATAAAGCATGCGCTCTGATTGGGTGAAGGCGTGGCCGTTGCCGTAGTAGGCGGGGTTTACAACTGTCAGTCCCGCTGGAGTGCAGCCGTGCAGTTCACAGCGCGAGTGGACAAGTGGAGACAATCGGATGAAACACGGATTCGATAGGAAGTAACTGTCTATAAAACTAAAGGATACAATTGAAACGTTTCACATGGGGAGTTATATAACAAAATGACGTGTATGCGTTACACTATGTTACTGTTCTCAGTTTTGGAGTTATTGTTGTTTGGATACACCGCTGGTTTGTCGCGTACTGTACGTCGCCTGAGCGATGAGAACGCGTCTTCAGGCGCGAGACTACCGCGTGCTGTGTTGGATGATACATTGGAGGCGACCGCCATCCCAAACCACTTACAAGAGGACGACAGGGACTCCAGGTTTTCACCTTTTACCTCCACAATGACCATCACAACCAGGGATTTCAAAACCACTGGCAAAACTAACCAACTACAGCCCTTCTGGTTGACCACGGCATCGTTTCTTACCAAAACAATGAACCCAACCCTCAAAGACAGTCAAGTCAAAGAAAACTCGACAACACTAAACAATACAGTAAAACCCACTTCTTCCTCTCCACTTACTGGCAGAGAAAACACAACCCCACCGGAACTGGATACTGCAAAGAGTTCATCATGGACAGTGAAAAGCACCTCAAAGCCTCTTGTCGTGACCACTGAGAAAGGTAGGTTCGGTTCTCACTAGTTATCCCTTTTCAGGTGTGCAAGTTTGTAAAATGTTAGTTTTGGAGCTTGTTATACCAAAAAAAAAAAAAAAAAAAAAGCAGCCCCATGGTGTGTCCTTGAATTTCTTTCCCAGCCTCTGCAAAACAGATTTTGAGGGATTTGCAAGAGGTCTACACCTGCACAAGCTGTTCTTGTGCTACATTTATTATTTTGTCTTCATTACAGCATTCTGACAGAATTTCACATTCTTTCTTCTTTATAGTCACAGGTTCACAGAATTGTTTATTGCTTCCAGAGGATCAGTTACAACAAACCAGTACCATCTTTGTTCAGAGACACTCCTTTGTCTCAATTCTCTCTGTTGGTTTTGTGGTAATGCTGATTATCAGCTGTTACAAAAATAAATTGACAGATGAATACTTTCCACAAACCTTTAGTGCTTCACAGGCACCTGTGAAGGACATTCGAGATAAGGCCAGTTGTGCAGAGACAATCTTCTTAATTGCTTTAATGTGATTAATTGCTACCTGACTGCCAAAAGGGGAAAACAGTCATAAATCTTAAACCTTCCACTCGTTTATCTTGAGTTACATGATTTCAAGCTAGCTTTGAGAATAAGGATGATTAATTTTCATTAAGGTCATCCAGTGTAGTAGTATCAGCACCTTTATGCCTGCTTTATCTCTTTAGTTGAATGGCACATATTTTTGTCTAATTCATAATCTTTTCTTCCTGTCAGTTTTTGAAAAAGGTGAAAAGTGAAATTCCTCTTTTTAGTATCATTAAATTCTCTCAGTCTGAACTTGGATATAGAACTTGGATATATTCAGTGACAACAGTTAAAAGAAAAGTGAACCAGCCATGTATAATCAAAGGTTCAGTTAAGACTTTATGTGATCTGCAGCCCTTCTGTACTTCATTGGAAGTGATTTGGAGTCAGGTGTCAGGTGGAGTCAGGTGTTTGAGACTACAGTTAAAGGCACAATATAAAGTATTTTTTTTTCCGAAACCAAGAGGGTGCAGTTTCTAACAATAACAAAGGCGTAGGTTTATGACGCAGTGATGAGCTGAATGATGGGACTTGCTGTCAAGCTGATGGATCTAATAATGTTTATGGATGAGTGCAAACTTTCATGTTTTTTAACATTACAGTGGTTCTACCAAACTACCCGCAAGTGCTGGATTACTCACACAGGTCAGTTTATTAGACTAATTAAACTTGTGAGGCAACACAGCGCTGCTTCACTTGGTCTATTGTGACACTTTCACACTAAACGGCATTTAAATATGTAATGTCAGGGGAAACAAGAGCACTAAACTTACCGCTCTAAGAACAAAAGTCAAGACATTGTGATGATATTAAGTAAATATTTTGTTGATAATTGCAAGAAAATCCATGTGATTTTTTTTCTGGCAACTGTTTTTTTTATTATTAGCAGTGGTATAGGGAACATTAAAACTTTCACCTCATTTTGTCACAAGATGATTTCAGTCTCAGACTCAAATAAAACCTACACAAGTTATTGTAAAAGCAAGAATCAGATCAAGCCACCTTACCTTAAGCTACATTTCCTTAAACCTAATTCATCCCACACTACAGACCAAAATACAATTTGACTTTATTATAACAAATGTTAGTATTGTCTTTTTATTGTGTTAGTACAGAGCATAGTGATCATTAATCAGTCTTGTAGATGCACTAATGCAGCATTATAGCTCTTGGACACACTGGTAATTGTCTCATTGAAGTTCCTTATATTATATTCTCTTCTTTGCTCTGTACTTTCTTCCGCAGTGGTGTGTAATAGACAAGCAATAAAAAAAGAAGTATGATTGGGGTTTAAATCACACGTTTCATCTTTATGCGTGTGGATGGACGCATTATGTAGTACAGAAATTAAGGTCAACAGAATTAAGAATAGTTTACAAAATTGCATAATTATTATTAATTGTTTATTCCAGAGACTTAGATCCATATCACAAAGTCAAAGAAACAGAAAGAAAAGATTAACAAACATTATTTTAGAACATACAGACTTGAGTGCTTCCAGAACCAGGAAGAATACCTTGTATCACTTAATATAGGATCATTTAAGATGATTGTATTTCTCAAGTCACCCAATTGACACATGAAATTATAATTCCTTAACACAGCATGCAATGCGATGCACTTGTCCAAGAAGTTTAGCCTAGAGAAGTCTGAAGTTTAACCTAGAAAGACATGAAAAAAACAGGGTTAAAATATTTAAAACTCTTATCATATAGCCTAGTGTGATTTTCTTAGTAGCCAAGTGTGTGCATGGCCTAGCACAGCTACAGTGATGATTTGTTCTTATAGATTTTCATGACATTTCAGACATTTTCATGTTTAAATGCATGTCAACCCCCTAGTAAAGATAATTAAAGATTTACGAGAATGCACTTACTAGATTTCAGGATTAAATAATGCTTTTAACTGACACTTGTGTTCTATTTTGGCATAGCCTGTAAACAAAACAAGAATATGAGCCAGTATGACACAATCTTTGATTTGCCCTTTCCTTTCAGTGACTCATGTAGTGTTGTTTTTATTGGAATGCAATCAGGAAAAATAATTTTCCAGGGATACTTGTTTATGATGTGGTGGTGGCAAAATCACACTTTATTTCATCAAGAGTACATATCATAAACATTAAAAGGAATGAAAACAAACAATACACTGAAATACCTTGAGGAGATGAGGTTGGTTTATTGCTGAACTGGCATTGTGGTGAGCTTAATGGCTTTTTTTCATTCTTTTTATAATTCCAACAGAACATTTGTTAAGGGCAATGCACTCTGTTTTCGCACCACCACCTGTGATTCAGTTATACTGTAACGCCTCATATTGCATTTTCGTATTGTGCTCTACGTGTGAGCAGCGTGTAGCTTATTAAAACACATTTCAGCAAGGACAGTGAAAGTCATTTTGTAAATCCCCAGGACTGCAGGACACAGACAAGCTTGTATGGTGGCTGTTTTTCAGCTACTGTGCTGTCCTTGCTCGGCAGTTTTATGAACGGGTTTAAAGAAACATGACATGAGCTCAAACATTACGTACACGCATTATAGACCTTAAAGTCTTCAACTGTGTTACTTTCACTAAGTTTCAACAGTTTTTTTTATGAATTTTTTTTTTTTTTTTGTATGACCTACTACTATATTATTAAGTTAGATGTGCTGCATTTTCAAGGCAAAATTGATGCCGTGGTCTGAGCTTTCTTTTAACTTTAAAAGCATCCACATCATGCTCTGAATAGAACAAACTACTGTGTGTTTGCTTGGGTTTGGCTGTTTGAACATTTATAAGTCTAGTGACATTAAATTAAAAACGTCTGTTTGATGTATAGTACGCCAACTAATAGATGAAATGAATTGTAATGCTACAGAATGGCCAAGTCAAGTTACCTTTATTCTTATAACACTTTATTCCATGCAAAATGCTTCAAAGCAGCTTTACTGTGATAAAAAAAATAGTGATCAATGATACAAGTTCAATTCTGTTTTGTGATTGTAATGGTGGTCTAAAGCTATTCTTTGAAAATGCAAATGAGCTGTAAGAGCAATTAATTTAGTGCTGTGTAGCACATTTTGATTTGCACCTTATTTGTGTATTCCCATCTGGGAGTTTTATAAAAGCACTGCTCTGCTATTGCTTAGACTGCCATTTTCAATACACAGCTCCAGGCCTACAAACATCCTAAATCCAGTTCTTTTGTGAGGAGTAGGCGCTTCCAGACTTAGCACAGATTTATTTTTCTGTTTGATTAGAAACTCTCATGAGTCCTAGAGCCGTACACAGATAACTGCCCTTCTGCCTCTGCTTGATAGCCAAGCCTGTCTTACTATCCTCTCCCTCAACCATTTGAAAGTCAATTTCTTAATGAATATAAAACGTACTGGCATATCAGGTATACAGTGTGAGTCTGTGTCAAGAAAACCTCATTGCTAAAACACAAAGGATATAATCCTTATAATTATATAATTATAATATAATTATGTCCCTGTGCAATTCCTTATATGCAAACAGTATGCCAAAGTTTATTTTGTACGGTATTTGGCCAGTGATTGAGCCTTTCATTACAGCTGACCCTTATATAAAAAATACATCCCTTACATACACAGAGCATTTCTCTCTCTCTCTCTCTCTCTCTCTCTCTCTCTCTCTCTCTCTCTCTCTCTCTCTCTCTCTTTCTCTCACTAAGTGTTCTGAATCTGATGAAAATGAAGAGTGTCAGTTTGTGGACTGAGCATACAACAAAGAGCATGAACAAAAATTTCAGCACATGCTTAACTTGGTGTGCATTTACAGAGCTTTCACAAAGTGTGCATGTTTTTAAGACTAAACAGATACCACACCTAGGCAATTAGAAACGAGTATAAACCTGTCTATAGTATATAAAAGGAGTGGACTTTCCTTTTATTACTAATAAGTAATTCTAAATAGTGTTGTTATTTAGGTTTTATCTGACAACCATTTGCCTTGTTTAGAGACTCAAAAGGATGAAGTTTGAAACTACAATTCATTTAGTTACAAGCTAGGACTTTACCACTAACGACACCTTCACACTGGGAGTTGAAATCAGTTGAAAACGACCGGAAGTCATTAATTTCGTATGGAGATTTGCAGACCACATGCGAATTGGTCCAAAGAAAGTGGTGCGAAAAAAATAATCGTCAGTTGGTCATCCGGATGCGTTTGCGAAGCTACGGACGGTTCCTATCCAACAATTCCAGCGTAAGTTAGCGTTGCTATAGTACTGATAAACAAACCAGAACTTTTAATAAAATAAATAATGATTTTATAATGATAAGCTGTACTTAATTTGATTAATTGTGATTAATTTTCATGATTTTCTAATGTTATTAGGGCAGTTAATATATAATTAAAATGTAGAATTAAATATTGTGGGCGTTTTCTTTTCTCTCTACGCTGTTGGCTATGCTTCGGTTTTCATTTATACATCTGCGTCGTCATCCG